ATGTTGACAGATACTTACACACTGTTTTATGTTGACAGATACTTACACACTGTTTTATGTTGACAGATACTTACAGACTGTTTTATATTGACAGATACTTACACACTGTTTATGTTGACAGATACTTACAGACTGTTTTATGTTGACAGATACTTACAGACTGTTTATGTTGACAGATACTTACACACTGTTTTATGTTGACAGACAGATACTTACACACTGTTTGATGTTGACAGATACTTACACACTGTTTTATGTTGACAGACAGATACTTACACACTGTTTTATGTTGACAGACAGATACTTACACACTGTTTTATGTTGACAGATACTTACAGACTGTTTGATGTTGACAGATACTTACAGACTGTTTATGTTGACAGATACTTACAGACTGTTTATGTTGACAGATACTTACACACTGTTTGATGTTGACAGATACTTACAGACTGTTTATGTTGACAGATACTTACACACTGTTTTATGTTGACAGATACTTACACACTGTTTTATGTTGACAGATACTTACACACTGTTTTATGTTGACAGACAGATACTTACACACTGTTTTATGTTGACAGATACTTACAGACTGTTTGATGTTGACAGATACTTACACACTGTTTTATGTTGACAGATACTTACACACTGTTTTATGTTGACAGACAGATACTTACACACTGTTTTATGTTGACAGATACTTACACACTGTTTATGTTGACAGATACTTACACACTGTTTGATGTTGACAGATACTTACACACTGTTTTATGTTGACAGATACTTACAGACTGTTTATGTTGACAGATACTTACACACTGTTTGATGTTGACAGACAGATACTTACACACTGTTTTATGTTGACAGATACTTACAGACTGTTTATGTTGACAGATACTTACACACTGTTTTATGTTGACAGATACTTACAGACTGTTTATGTTGACAGATACTTACACACTGTTTGATGTTGACAAATACTTACACACTGTTTTATGTTGACAGATACTTACACACTGTTTTATGTTGACAGATACTTACAGACTGTTTGATGTTGACAGATACTTACAGACTGTTTATGTTGACAGATACTTACACACTGTTTATGTTGACAGATACTTACACACTGTTTTATGTTGACAGATACTTACAGACTGTTTTATGTTGACAGATACTTACACACTGTTTATGTTGACAGATACTTACAGACTGTTTTATGTTGACAGATACTTACAGACTGTTTATATTGACAGATACTTACACACTGTTTTATATTGACAGATAATTACAGACTGTTTTATGTTAACAGATACTTACACACTGTTTGATGTAGACAGACAGATACTTACACACTGTTTTATGTTAACAGATACTTACACACTGTTTTATGTTGACAGACAGATACTTACACACTGTTTTATGTTGACAGATACTTACACACTGTTTTATGTTGACAGATACTTACACACTGTTTATGTTGACAGATACTTACACACTGTTTGATGTTGACAGATACTTACACACTGTTTTATATTGACAGATACTTACAGACTGTTTATGTTGACAGATACTTACACACTGTTTTATGTTGACAGATACTTACACACTGTTTGATGTTGACAGATACTTACACACTGTTTATGTTGACAGATACTTACACACTGTTTTATGTTGACAGATACTTACAGACTGTTTGATGTTAACTGATACTTACACACTGTTTTATGTTGACAGATACTTACAGACTGTTTTATGTTGACAGACAGATACTTACACACTGTTTTATGTTGACAGACAGATACTTACACACTGTTTGATGTTGACAGATACTTACACACTGTTTTATGTTGACAGATACTTACACACTGTTTGATGTTGACAGATACTTACAGACTGTTTATGTTGACAGATACTTACACACTGTTTGATGTTGACAGATACTTACAGACTGTTTATGTTGACAGATACTTACACACTGTTTGATGTTGACAGATACTTACAGACTGTTTTATGTTGACAGATACTTACAGACTGTTTATGTTGACAGATACTTACACACTGTTTGATGTTAACAGATACTTACACACTGTTTTATGTTGACAGAAAGATACTTACACACTGTTTTATGTTGACAGATACTTACACACTGTTTTATGTTAACAGATACTTACACACGGTTTTATGTTGACAGACAGATACTTACACACTGTTTTATGTAGACAAACAGATACTTACACACTGTTTGATGTTGACAGATACTTACAGACTTTTTATGTTGACAGATACTTACACACTGTTTGATGTTGACAGATACTTACACACTGTTTTATATTGACAGATACTTACAGACTGTTTATGTTGACAGATACTTACACACTGTTTGATGTTGACAGATACTTACACACTGTTTTATGTTGACAGATACTTACACACTGTTTTATGTTGACAGACAGATACTTACACACTGTTTTATATTGACAGATACTTACACACTGTTTATGTTGACAAATACTTACACACTGTTTTATGTTGACAAATACTTACACACTGTTTTATGTTGACAGATACTTACCGACTGTTTTATGTTGACAGATACTTACACACTGTTTGATGTTGACAGATACTTACACACTGTTTTATGTTGACAGACAGATACTTACACACTGATACTTACACACTTTTATGTTGACAGATACTTACACACTGTTTTATGTTGACAGATACTTACAGACTGTTTATGTTGACAGATACTTACACACTGTTTGATGTTGACAGATACTTACACACTGTTTGATGTTGACAGATACTTACAGACTGTTTTATGTTGACAGATACTTACACACTGTTTGATGTTGACAGATACTTACACACTGTTTTATGTTGACAGATACTTACACACTGTTTATGTTGACAGATACTTACACACTGTTTTATGTTGACAGATACTTACAGACTGTTTATGTTGACAGATACTTACACACTGTTTGATGTTGACAGATACTTACAGACTGTTTTATGTTGACAGACAGATACTTACAGACTGTTTTATGTTGACAGATACTTACAGACTGTTTTATGTTGACAGATACTTACAGACTGTTTGATGCTGACAGATACTTACACACTGTTTTATGTTGACAGATACTTACAGACTGTTTGATGTTGACAGATACTTACACACTGTTTTATGTTGACAGATACTTACACACTGTTTTATGTTGACAGATACTTACACACTGTTTATGTTGACAGATACTTACACACTGTTTGATGTTGACAGATACTTACAGACTGTTTATGTTGACAGATACTTACACACTGTTTATGTTGACAGATACTTACAGACTGTTTTATGTTGACAGATACTTACACACTGTTTTATGTTGACAGATACTTACACACTGTTTTATGTTGACAGATACTTACACACTGTTTTATGTTGACAGATACTTACACACTGTTTGATGTTGACAGATACTTACAGACTGTTTATGTTGACAGATACTTACACACTGTTTGATGTTAACAAATACTTACACACTGTTTTATGTTGACAGAAAGATACTTACACACTGTTTTATGTTGACAGATACTTACAGACTGTTTGATGTTAACAGATACTTACAGACTGTTTATGTTGACAGATACTTACACACTGTTTTATGTTGACAGATACTTACACACTGTTTGATGTTGACAGATACTTACAAACTGTTTTATATTGACAGATACTTACACAGTTTTATGTTAACAGATACTTACACACTGTTTTATGTTGACAGACAGATACTTTCACACTGTTTGATGTTGACAGATACTTACACACTGTTTGATGTTGACAGATACTTACACACTGTTTTATGTTGACAGATACTTACACTGTTTTATGTTGACAGACAGATACTTACACACTGTTTTATGTTGACAGATACTTACAGACTGTTTATGTTGACAGATACTTACACACTGTTTTATGTTGACAGATACTTACAGACTGTCTTATGTTGACAGATACTTACAAACTGTTTATGTTGACAGATACTTACACACTGTTTTATGTTGACAGATACTTACAGACTGTTTATGTTGACAGATACTTACACACTGTTTATGTTGACAGATACTTACAGACTGTTTTATGTTGACAGATACTTACACACTGTTTATGTTGACAGATACTTACACACTGTTTGATGTTGACAGATACTTACACACTGTTTTATATTGACAGATACTTACACACTGTTTATGTTGACAAATACTTACACACTGTTTTATGTTGACAGATACTTACCGACTGTTTTATGTTGACAGATACTTACACACTGTTTATGTTGACAGATACTTACACACTGTTTTATGTTGACAGATACTTACACACTGTTTATGTTGACAGATACTTACAGACTGTTTTATGTTGACAGATACTTACACACTGTTTTATGTTGACAGATACTTACACACTGTTTGATGTTGACAGATACTTACACACTGTTTTATGTTGACAGATACTTACACACTGTTTGATGTTGACAGATACTTACACACTGTTTTATGTTGACAGATACTTACACACTGTTTGATGTTGACAGATACTTACAGACTGTTTATGTTGACAGATACTTACACACAGATACTTACACACTGTTTTATGTTGACAGACAGATACTTACACACTGTTTTATGTTGACAGATACTTACACACTGTTTTATGTTAACAGATACTTACACACTGTTTTATGTTGACAGATACTTACACACTGTTTTATGTTAACAGATACTTACACACTGTTTTATGTTGACAGATACTTACACACTGTTTTATGTTGACAGATACTTACACACTGTTTGATGTTGACAGATACTTACACACTGTTTGATGTTGACAGATACTTACACACTGTTTGATGTTGACAGATACTTACACACTGTTTTATATTGACAGATACTTACACACTGTTTATGTTGACAGATACTTACAGACTGTTTTATGTTGACAGATACTTACAGGCAGACTACACACAGTCATGTGTGGCAGGGTTTGAATTTTGGAGGTTCCAAGAGGAAAAGTTTGGAACATCACAGGATCAGCTTTTAGATAGGGCAAACACTGGTTTTTATGATAATGTTCCAGCTGTCATTATCTACACTAGTGGAACCACAGGAAACCCAAAGGTAGGAGAACTGGCTGTATTACAGATAACACCTAAAATACATAACTTACCTCAGTACCACCACCCTTACCCAAACCCTTACCTCTATAACACAATTCTTACCCAAGCCCTTACCTCAGTACCACCACCCTTACCCAAACCCTTACCTCTATAACACAATTCTTACCCAAGCCCTTACCTCAGTACCACCACCCTTACCCAAACCCTTACCTCTATAACACAATTCTTACCCAAGCCCTTACCTCAGTACCACAATCCTTACCCAAGCCCTTACCTCAGTACCACCACCCTTACCCAAGCCCTTACCTCAGTACCACCACCCTTACCCAAGCCCTTACCTCTATAACACAATCCTTACCCAAGCCCTTACCTCTGTACCACAATTCTTACCCAAGCCCTTACCTCTGTACCACAAGCATTACCCAAGCCCTTACCTCTGTACCACAAGCATTACCCAAGCCCTTACCTCTGTACCACAAGCATTACCCAAGCCCTTACCTCTGTACCACAAGCATTACCCAAGCCCTTACCTCTGTACCACAATCATTACCCAAGCCCTTACCTCAGTACCACCACCCTTACCCAAGCCCTTACCTCTATACCACAATCCTTACCCAAGCCCTTACCTCTGTACCACAATCCTTACCCAAACCCTTACCTCTATAACACAATTCTTACCCAAGCCCTTACCTCTGTACCACAAGCATTACCCAAGCCCTTACCTCTGTACCACAAGCATTACCCAAGCCCTTACCTCTGTACCACAAGCATTACCCAAGCCCTTACCTCTGTACCACAAGCATTACCCAAGCCCTTACCTCTGTACCACAAGCATTACCCAAGCCCTTACCTCAGTACCACAATCCTTACCCAAGCCCTTACCTCAGTACCACAAGCATTACCCAAGCCCTTACCTCTGTACCACAATCCTTACCCAAGCCCTTACCTCAGTACCACAATCCTTACCCAAGCCCTTACCTCTATACCACAATCCTTACCCAAGCCCTTACCTCTATACCACAATCCTTACCCAAGCCCTTACCTCTATACCACAATCCTTACCCAAGCTCTTACCTCTGTACCACAATCGGTACCCTCATATTCTTCAGGTTCTCACTGTTTATACTGTAATTAAAATTGATGCATTTCTTCTTGTTTGTAAAAATGACCTGGCAACACTTCTTCAGATTCATTTCCCACATAGAACACCAATCATACACTCTATCTATATCACTCTGTAGCTACTCACACTCTGAAAGCGTTCTTACACAAATTTTACTGTCGTCTGCAAACAGTTTTAGAAAATTTTACAACAAATGACAATTCATTGATGAAAACAGGGAAAAGTGTAGGCCCATGTAATGCCCCTTTGGGCACACCAGAAGTTACCTCACACTAACCAGATGTTACCCCATTGACAGTGACACGTAGGAATTTGTCTTTTCAATGATTAGTAAACCAATCTAACATACTACCTTCTGAACACTGAAATTTTACCTTGTACAATAATAATATGTGGTTTACTTTGTCTAAACCTTTGAAAAATCAGTATATACCACATGTAATTATACTTTTTCGTCAAAGGCTTTGCAAATCTGACTGGTAAAATATGCAAGGTTTGGAGCAGTAGAATGTTTTGGAATAAAACCGTGTTGCTCATGACATATAAACAGATTTATAAAATTTGAAATATGAGTGTCAGTCAGATTTTTTTTTTAAACTTGAGATAAAATAGAAAGTAGAGTCATTGGTCTGTAATTAGAGACTCCATTACGATTACCTGATTTAAAAATAGGAATAACATTGACCCTTTTGGAAATGAATGATATATACCATCGTTCAACAAACTGTTGAAAATGTTACACAATGTTACACATCATCATCAGCACATTCTCTTCAAATACTATGCCAGAAATGCTGTCGTAACCACAAGTTTTTTTAGGTATTTTGGGATGAAGAGCTACTAAGTTTGTTAATATAAATGACCTTGACAGTCTTTCAAGGTCATAGGTGTCAGATATGTCAAAATCTTTAAACAACTTCTCAATAACCAAAAGACCAATGGTCTGATATTAGACCTGTAGCATCGATAGGATGAAGGGCTACCAAGTGTGTTAAAATGAATGACCTTGACTCACTTTCAAGATCACAGAGGTCAAATGTGTCAAAATATCTAAATCACATTTTCCCAATGATTGAAAGCCTTAGGGTGCTGATATTGAGTTTTTAGCATGCTATGATGAAGGGCTACCAAGTTTGGTAATATGAATGTCATTGACCCACTTTTAAGGTCACAGGGGTCAAGTATGTGGAAACATTTTAACTTCTTTTCAATAACCAAACAGCCGAGGCTGCTGATATTGGGCCTTTATCATGCTGAGATATAGGGCTACCAAGTGTGTTGATATGGTTGACCTTGACCTGTTTTCAAAGTAACAGGGTCAAATATCTTAAAATCTTTAAATATCTTCGACTTAATAACCAAAAGGTCCATGGTACTGATATTGGGCCCATAGCATGCTATGATAAAAGGCTGCCAAGTTTGTTAAACTGTATTACCTTGACCCAGGGATCTGGGATGAAGGGTTACCATGTTTGTTCACCTTGTACTACAGTCAAAGTCACAGGTTTTGAATGTGTTCAAATGCATAAACAACTTCTTCTCAATTACCAAAAGGCCAAGGGTCTTAATATTGGGCCTGAAGCATGTTTTTTTCAACAAGCAATATGTCCAGAGTAATGGTATTTGTGTAGTGCATGTACAAAGAATAAGATTTCAAGTTTGCAGAAAATGTCTTGATGAACTAACCAGTGTCGTCAATGGAAGCTGCAGTGTAGTTGTGCAATTTATTTTAGATCTGTTTGACCTCATTCATTTATAGGTTTTTATAGTCAGATGACCCTTAAGGCCAGTGGGCAAGTGCAAGTGCCTTCTGAACATCAGTGCATTTTAAAACAATTGTGCTCAGAGGGCAATCAAATTCACTTTTTATATATATTTGAGGAAGATCAGTATTAAAAAAAAAAACCTATAGTCCTGAAGAAATAATGAATTATACTCGGCGTCAATAAAAACACAATACCTTTAAATTACTGTCAAAATTTACCAGTTATAGTTTTGAATACAATATTTAATAAAATACCTAAAGTTGATTATGTCCATAACAAAATTCACTCAATGCAATCAGCACTACATCATGGGAATACTTTGATTTCCGGTGACTAATGTCCATACCCCCAAAATCAAAATTACCACGTTCAATATCTAATGTGGCCACCATTTGCAGCGACACAAGCGCGGCATCTTCGAGGCATTGACCGAATAAGCCATTGAATTTTGATTTGAGGAATGTTCCTCCACTCTTCCTGAAGAGCGATTTCAAGCTGCCGATGCGTCTGGGGCTGTTGTGGTCGCTCTCTCACAGCCCTACCCAATTGGTCCCAAAGATGCTCGATCGGGCTAAGATCTGGGGAAACGCGGGCCATGGAAGGGTTGCAATGTTCTGATGTTGAAGGTAGTCTGTAGTGATACGAGCGGTATGTGGTCGTGCATTGTCCTGTTGTAAAAACGCTACGTTTGGGTGTCCAGCAAAGAATGGAACAACAGCAGGAGTTAAGACCTCGTTGATGTAGTGCTGTGCTGTTAGATTGCCGTCAATAATCATTAGAGGGGTACGGTATGCAAAAGAGATACCTCCCCACACCATCACACTGCCCCCGCCCCACCTATCCGTTTCCGTTACACAGCAATCCAAAAACCTTTCACCGTCATTTCCTCTGAGGTGGAATCTTGATTCATCGGTGAACAGGACGCCAGCCCACCGACGTTGGGTCCATCCTCGGCGCTATCCAATTTAGACGATTTTGACGGCGAATTTGAGTCAATTCGTTTCCTCTAAATGGACGGCGCGACGCCAATCCGGCTGTGCGAAGGCGACGGCACACAATACTAGCTGACAAACATCTGCCGCGACTTCCTATCGTCTGTCTAGCCGTTCTTGTCGCGGTTTGAAAACGATCTCGCAGGTGACTTATTCGAATGTAACGGTCCTGGTTTGCCAGCATACCCCGAGATTCGTGTCTTTCATTGTCTGTCAGTCGAGGCATTTGTAGCAAATAATGATGACATTTTAAAAAATTGGTGACGGAAAAATGTCTGCCTGTAACTACAGTGTTCACTAGTAGTGACTGAGCAAGGATATAACGCACTTTAGAGCGCAGACGTACAAACTCATGCTTTTACGACAATGCCCTGTGGTACGACTAGGAGTTGATATTACTCGACCATTATTTCGTTAGTTTTGTAGTGCATTGTGTTGTGGCTAAATACAGCAGAATAAGAATCTAATCCTTGTTGTGAAGAATATATTATGTCCAAAATTTTAGTGTTGCGTTTTCATTGGCGCCAAGTATATATCAGCAGATCCAACATTGATAGAAGACAGCAATTAACTGTGTGAGACTGAGTCTGTAACAATCCCCTCCTTCCATTTCCTTTAATGAATTCCCTAAAACATTTGGTATTGCTTTTACAGAATGTTCCACATTGGCAATATAGTCATTACCTTTCTAACTCAGCCCCTCACCCAAACTCTTACCCCCTCAGTCAAACTCTTACCCCCTCACTTCTACTCTCGCTCCATAACCCCCTCGCCCTGACACATAGTCCTTCACTAAGTTCTAACCCTCTCACCCGATCCCTAAACCCCTCACCCTGACACATAGTCCTTCACTCAGTTCTAACCCTCTCACCCCAACCCTAACCCCCTCACCCAGACACATAGTCCTTCACTCAGTTCTAACCCTCTCACCCCAACCCTAACCCCCTCACTCTAGACATGGTCCTTTACTCAGTTCTAACCCTCTCACCCCAACCCTAACCCCCTCACCCAGACACATAGTCCTTCACTCAGTTCTAACCCTCTCACCCCAACCCTAACCCCCTCACTCTAGACATAGTCCTTCACTCAGTTCTAACCCTCTCACCCCAACCCTAACCCCCTCGCCCTGACACATAGTCCTTCACTAAGTTCTAACCCTCTCACCCGATCCCTAAACCCCTCACCCTGACACATAGTCCTTCACTCAGTTCTAACCCTCTCACCCCAACCCTAACCCCCTCACCCAGACACATAGTCCTTCACTCAGTTCTAACCCTCTCACCCCGACCCTAACCCCCTCACTCTGACACATGGTCCTTCACTCAGTTCTAACCCTCTCACCCCAACCCTAACCCCCTCACTCTAGACATAGTCCTTCACTCAGTTCTAACCCTCTCACCCCGACCCTAACCCCCTCACTCTGGGCATAGTCTTTCACTCAGTTCTAACCCTTTCACACCATCCCTAACCCCCTCACTCTGGATATAGTCCTTTACTCAGTTCTAACCCTCTCACCCCGACCCTAACCCCCTCACTCTGACACATGGTCCTTCACTCAGTTCTAACCCTCTCACCCCAACCCTAACCCCCTCACCCTGACATATAGTCCTTCACTCAGTTCTAACCCTCTCACCCCAACCTTAACCCCCTCACCCTGCACATAGTCCTTCACTCATTTCTAACCCTCTTACCTCGACCTTAACCCCATTACTCAGGACATAGTTCTACACTCAGTTCTAACCCTCTCACCCCAACCCTAACCCCCTCACTCTGACACATAGTCCTTCACTAAGTTCTAACCCTCTCACCCGATCCCTAAACCCCTCACCCTGACACATAGTCCTTCACTCAGTTCTAACCCTCTCACCCCAACCCTAACCCCCTCACCAAGACACATAGTCCTTCACTAAGTTCTAACCCTCTCACCCCAACCCTAACCCCCTCACTCTGACACATGGTCCTTCACTAAGTTCTAACCCTCTCACCCCAACCCTAACCCCATCACTCTCGACATAGTCCTTCACTCAGTTCTAACCCTCTCAACCCAACCCTAACCCCCTCACTCTGGACATAGTCCTTCACTCAAGCCCTTACTCCATAACCCAAACCTTTACCTCATCATCGATACCCTTACCCCTTCACCTCGACACATACTTCTTTATCCCAATTCTAACCCTCTCACCCCAACCTTAATCCCATCTCCTCAAGACTCACCTATTCATCCTAAAACTTACCTCTCAACTCTCACCTCTCACTTATTCCCTCACCTCAACTCTTACACCCTTGCTCTGACATTTAACTCCTGAACCCAAACCCTTAACCCCTCACCCAAACCCTAACCCCTCACCCAAACCCTTACACCCTTACCCAAAAATCCTTACCCCTTGAGATCAGCTCTTACCTCATCCCAACCCTTACACTCTCACCCCAACCTTTACCTCCTAACTGGACCCATACCTCAACACCCAATTCCTGTCTCCCTCACCCCAATCATTACCCTCTCAACCCGGCCCTGACCTCATTACCAACACACATATTAACACACTGAGACTGAGATAATAACCTCTTGTCGGTCTTATCTCTGTTCAAGGGTGTTGTGCTGACCCACAAGAATGTCACAGCTAACATGGAAGGAATGGTGTTGTCATGGAAATGGGCCAGCACTGACCGCATCCTTCATGTACTGCCACTGTATCATGTTCACGGTCTGGTGAATGCACTCATGACTCCATTGTACTGTGGTGCCACCTGTGTTATGTTGCCGAAGTTTGATGCACATGAGGTACATATAGAATGATTAGAAGGACTATTTCAGATTGTATTGTGTTTAACTTGCAAGGTGTGCATCTTTGATTTTGACAGCTTTAAAGATAATTTATTCTCACATTCTACATGTAGGTTTCCCTTGGTGCCAGTGCATTACCTATTCTGTTTTGATATTTATTTTTAGGTGCTGATGAAGCTAACAGGAAAAGAAGACATAACTGTATTGATGGCAGTTCCTACTATTTATGCAAAGTTAATAGAATACTTGAAGGTCTTAGACCAGGAATCTGACCTGTCATCGAATGACCAGCACATCAAGGCTAAAGTTGGTGAAATGCGATCCAGAATAAGGTACAAATTGATAAAAACCATAAAACGTCACCATTATATCCAAGACATAGGTCATCTGATCAAAGTTTATAATGTCAGTGAAGGTCATTAATGACAGAGGTGTGTAAGATATAGGACATCTGATCAATGTTTATAGTGTCACTGAAGGTCATTAATGACAGAGGTGTGTAGGATATAGGACATCTGATCAAAGTTTATAGTGTCAGTTGAAGGTCATTAATGACAGAGTGTGTGTATTTGGATATAGGACATCTGATCAATGTTTATAGTGTGTTTTTATGTCATTTATGACAGAGGTGTGTAGGATATAGGTCATCTGATCAAAGTTTATAGTGTCAGTGAAGGTCATTAATGACAGAGGTGTGTAGGATATAGGACATCTGAGCAATGTTTATAGTGTCACTGAAGGTCATTAATGACAGAGGACAGAGGTGTGTAGGATATAGGACATCTGATCAAAGTTTATAGTGTCACTGAAGGTCATTAATGACAGAGGACAGAGGTGTGTAGGATATAGGACATCTGATCAAAGTTTATAGTGTCAGTGAAGGTCATTAATGACAGAGGTGTTTAGGATATAGGACATCTGATCAAAGTTTATAGTGTCAGTGAAGGTCATTAATGACAGAGGTGTGTAGGATATAGGACATCTGATCAAAGTTTATAGTGTCAGTGAAGGTCATTAATGGCAGAGGTGTGTAGGATATAGGACATCTGATCAATGTTTATAGTGTCAGTGAAGGTCATTAATGACAGAGGTGTGTAGGATATAGGACATCTGATCAAAGTTTATAGTGTCAGTGAAGGTCATTAATGACAGAGGTGTGTAGGATATAGGACATCTGAGCAATGTTTATAGTGTCACTGAAGGTCATTAATGACAGAGGACAGAGGTGTGTAGGATATAGGACATCTGATCAATGTTTATAGTGTTGCTGAAGGTCTTTAATGACAGAGGTGTGTAGGATATAGGACATCTGATCAAAGTTTATAGTGTCAGTGAAGGTCATTAATGACAGAGGACAGAGGTGTGTAGGATATAGGACATCTGATCAAAGTTTATAGTGTCAGTGAAGGTCATTAATGACAGAGGTGTGTAGGATATAGGACATCTGATCAATGTTTATAGTGTTGCTGAAGGTCTTTAATGACAGAGGTGTGTAGGTGGATATAGGACATCTGATCAATGTTTATAGTGTCACTGAAGGTCATTAATGACAGAGGACAGAGGTGTGTAGGATATAGGACATCTGATCAAAGTTTATAGTGTCACTGAAGGTCATTAATGACAGAGGACAGAGGTGTGTAGGATATAGGACATCTGATCAAAGTTTATAGTGTCACTGAAGGTCATTAATGACAGAGGACAGAGGTGTGTAGGATATAGGACATCTGATCAAAGTTTATAGTGTCAGTGAAGGTCATTAATGACAGAGGTGTGTAGAATATAGGACATCTGCTCAAAGTTTATAGTGTCAGTGAAGGTCATTAATGGCAGAGGTGTGTAGGATATAGGACATCTGATCAATGTTTATAGTGTTGCTGAAGGTCATTAATGACAGAGGTGTGTAGGATATAGGACATCTGATCAATGTTTATAGTGTCACTGAAGGTCATTAATGACAGAGGACAGAGGTGTGTAGGATATAGGACATCTGATCAAAGTTTATAGTGTCACTGAAGGTCATTAATGTTTATAGTGTCAGTGAAGGTCATTAATGACAGAGGTGTGTAGTATATAGGACATCTGATCATAGTTTATAGTGTCTCTGAAGGTCTTTATTGACAGAGGACAGAGGTGTGTAGGATATAGGACATCTGATCAAAGTTTATAGTGTCACTGAAGGTCATTAATGACAGAGGACAGAGGTGTGTAGGATATAGGACATCTGATCAAAGTTTATAGTGTCAGTGAAGGTCATTAATGACAGAGGTGTGTAGGATATAGGACATCTGATCAAAGTTTATAGTGTCAGTGAAGGTCATTAATGACAGAGGTGTGTAGGATATAGGACATCTGATCAAAGTTTATAGTGTCAGTGAAGGTCATTAATGGCAGAGGTGTGTAGGATATAGGACATCTGATCAATGTTTATAGTGTCACTGAAGGTCATTAATGACAGAGGTGTGTAGGATATAGGGCATCTGATCAAAGTTTATAGTGTCAGTGAAGGTCATTAATGACAGAGGTGTGTAGGATATAGGACATCTGAGCAATGTTTATAGTGTCACTGAAGGTCATTAATGACAGAGGACAGAGGTGTGTAGGATATAGGACATCTGATCAATGTTTATAGTGTTGCTGAAGGTCTTTAATGACAGAGGTGTGTAGGATATAGGACATCTGATCAAAGTTTATAGTGTCAGTGAAGGTCATTAATGACAGAGGACAGAGGTGTGTAGTATATAGGACATCTGATCAATGTTTATAGTGTTGCTGAAGGTCTTTAATGACAGAGGTGTGTAGGATATAGGACATCTGATCAATGTTTATAGTGTCACTGAAGGTCATTAATGACAGAGGTGTGTAGGATATAGGACATCTGATCAATGTTTATAGTGTTGCTGAAGGTCTTTAATGACAGAGGTGTGTAGGATATAGGACATCTGATCAAAGTTTATAGTGTCAGTGAAGGTCATTAATGACAGAGGTGTGTAGGATATAGGACATCTGATCAATGTTTATAGTGTTGCTGAAGGTCTTTAATGACAGAGGTGTGTAGGATATAGGACATCTGATCAATGTTTATAGTGTCACTGAAGGTCATTAATGACAGAGGACAGAGGTGTGTAGGATATAGGACATCTGATCAAAGTTTATAGTGTCAGTGAAGGTCATTAATGACAGAGGTGTGTAGGATATAGGACATCTGATCAAAGTTTATAGTGTCACTGAAGGTCATTAATGACAGAGGACAGAGGTGTGTAGGATATAGGACATCTGATCAATGTTTATAGTGTCAGTGAAGGTCATTAATGACAGAGGTGTGTAGGATATAGGACATCTGATCAAAGTTTATAGTGTCAGTGAAGGTCATTAATGACAGAGGTGTGTAGGATATAGGACATCTGATCAATGTTTATAGTGTCAGTGAAGGTCATTAATGACAGAGGTGTGTAGGATATAGGGCATCTGATCAAAGTTTATAGTGTCAGTGAAGGTCATTAATGACAGAGGTGTGTAGGATATAGGACATCTGATCAAAGTTTATAGTGTCACTGAAGGTCATTAATGACAGAGGTGTGTAGGATATAGGGCATCATATTTTTAGCATAACTTTGCCTTCATTTAAACAAGGATGTAATGAAAGTTGGTGAATACATTAGTCATATGTTGAAGATTTACCGTGTACCAAATACTGTGTCTAAAAAACATTTAATTGTAGAAGTACTTCCTTTCTGTAGAGAATTCATGAGTTGTACCAATATTCATGTATTCTCTGTTATTAGTATAGGTTGAATGGTATACCACTGTACAATTAACTTGTTTCAGGTTGATGGTTAGCGGTTCAGATGCACTCCCCAGAACTGTCTTGGAACAGTGGGAAGCAAGGACTGGTCACTTCCTATTGGAGAGATATGGAATGTCTGAAACAGGAATGATTCTCACCAATAACATTGATACAGTGCATTCTAGTGGTAATGTATCCAGCTCATTCTACTTAGTTCTGATCTTGTAAGTGTCATGACTGGAAATATGAATGACTCTCAGTGCATTTATCAGTTTGCCATGTTTCCATTCATTCCTCTGACTGACCATCTGTCTATCATTTCATCTCTCCATACATCCTTCTGTCTATCATTTCATCTCTCCATACATCCTTCTGCCTATCATTTCATCTCTCCATACATCCTTCTGCCTATCATTTCATCTCTCCATACATCCTTCTGGCTATCATTTCATCTCTCCATACATCCTTCTGTCTATCATTTTATCTCTCCATACATCCTTCTGCCTATCATTTCATCTAACCATACATCCATCTGCCTATCTCATCATCTCTCCATACATCCTTCTGTCTATCTCCGTTCATCCATCTATCCAATCATCTTTCCACATGGCTCTGAGTGACCATCTATGTGACATATCTCCATTTATCTATCTGTCTATCCATGCATCTCTCTGTACACTTATCTTTCTGTCAATATCTCCATTTATATATTTTTCTGACCATCCATCATTCAATACCTTCTTCCATCTATTATTCATATATCCATTCATCTGTCTGTCTATCCCTCCATCTCTCATACATTCACCTGTCTATCCCTCCATCTCTCATACATTCACCTGTCTATCCCTCCATCTCGCATATATTCACCTGTTTATCCCTCCATCTCTCATACATTCACCTGTCTATCCTTTCATCTCTCATACATTCACCTGTTTATCCCTCCATCTCTAATACATTCACCTCTCTATCCCTCCATCTCTCATACATTCACCTGTCTATCCCTCCATCTCGCATATATTCACCTGTTTATCCCTCCATCTCTCATACATTCAACTGTCTATCTCTCCATCTCTCATACATTCACCTGTCTATCCTTCCATCTCTGATACATTTACCTGTCTATCCCTCCATCTCTCATACATTCACCTGTCTATCCCTCCATCTCTCATACATTCACTTGTCTATCCCTCCATCTCTCATACGTTCACCTGTCTATCCCTCCATCTCTCGTTTATTCTTCTGTCTATCCCTCCATCTCTCATACATTCACCTGTCTATCCTTCCATCTCTCATACATTCACCTGTCTATCCCTCCATCTCTCATACATTCACTTCTCTATCCCTCCATCTCTCATACATTCACCTGTCTATCCTTCCATCTCTGATACATTCACCTGTCTATCCCTCCATCTCTCATACATTCACCTGTCTATCCCTCCATCTCTCATACATTCACTTGTCTATCCCTCCATCTCTCATACGTTCACCTGTCTATCCCTCCATCTCTCGTTTATTCTTCTGTCTATCCCTCCATCTCTCATACATTCACCTGTCTATCCTTCCATCTCTCATACATTCACCTGTCTATCCCTCCATCTCTCATACATTCACTTGTCTATCCCTCCATCTCTCATACATTCACCTGTGTATCCCTCCATCTCTCATACATTCACCTGTCTATCCCTCCATCTCTCATACATTCACTTGTCTATCCCTCCATCTCTCATATATTCACCTGTCTATCCCTCCATCTCTCATACATTCACTTGTCTATCCCTCCATCTCTCATACATTCAGCTGTCTATCCCTCCATCTCTCATACATTTACTTGTCTATACCTCCATCTCTCATACATTCACCTGTCTATCCCTCCATCTCTCATACATTCACCTGTCTATCCCTCCATCTCTCATACATTCACTTGTCTATCCCTCCATCTCTCATACATTCACCTGTCTATCCCTCCATCTCTCATACATTCACTTGTCTATCCCTCCATCTCTCATACATTTACTTGTCTATACCTCCATCTCTCATACATTCACCTATCTATCCCTTCATCTCTCATACATTCACCTGTTTATCCCTCCATTTCTCATACATTCACCTCTCTATCCTTTTATCTCTCATACATTCACCTGTTTATCCCTCCATCTCTCACACATTCACCTGTCCATCCCTCCATCGCTCATACGTTCACCTGTCTATCCCTCCATCTCTCATACATTCACCTGTCTATCCCTCCATCTCTCATACATTCACTTGTCTATCCCTCCATCTCTCATACATTCACCTGTCTATCCCTCCATCTCTCATACATTCACTTGTCTATCCCTCCATCTCTCATACATTCAGCTGTCTATCCCTCCATCTCTCATACATTTACTTGTCTATACCTCCATCTCTCATACATTCACCTGTCTATCCCTCCATCTCTCATACATTCACCTGTCTATCCCTCCATCTCTCATACATTCACTTGTCTATCCCTCCATCTCTCATACATTCACCTGTCTATCCCTCCATCTCTCATACATTCACTTGTCTATCCCTCCATCTCTCATACATTCAGCTGTCTATCCCTCCATCTCTCATATATTTACTTGTCTATACCTCCATCTCTCATACATTCACCTATCTATCCCTTCATCTCTCATACATTCACCTGTTTATCCCTCCATTTCTCATACATTCACTATCCTTTTATCTCTCATACATTCACCTGTTTATCCCTCCATCTCTCACACATTCACCTGTCCATCCCTCCATCGCTCATACATTCACCTGTCTATCCCTCCATCTCTCATACATTCACCTGTCTATCCCTCCATCTCTCATACATTCACCTGTCTATCCCGCCATCTCTCATACATTCACCTGTCTATCCCTCCATCTCTCATACATTCACTTGTCTATCCTTCCATCTCTCATACATTCACTTGTCTATCCCTCCATCTCTCATTTATTCACCTGTCTATTCCTCCATCTCTCCATTGATCATCTGTCTGTCTGTCTGTCCATCTTTCAATACATCAAGCTCTCTGCACTATTGTTAATATAAAAGCTGTGCTGTCAATAAGACTGAAAATCTCTCATTGATTATCTATAACTACACATGAAAATTCTTCCTCTGGCTATAAGTTGTGGATGTTTATTTATCATTAGAAAACGAATCAGAATTACTGAATATTCAAACCATAATGTAGTCAAAATATTATCAAAATTTAATTGTAAATATATTTTACAGTGATGGTGTAGGCAACAAATTATTGGCCTGGATTAAAACACACTCAGTGTCTTATTGTGGTCATCAATGGGAGGACTAAGGTTATTGTGGTACAACATGGGGATTACCAAGGTTTCTTTGGTAGGACATGGGAGTACCAAGGTTACTGTGGTAGTAAATGGGAGTACCAAGGTTACTGTGGTAATAAATAGGAGTACCAAGGTTACTGTGGTAGTAAATATGAGTATCAAGGTTACTGTGGTAATAAATAGGAGTACCAAGGTTACTGTGGTAGTTAATAGGAGTACCAAGGTTACTGTGGTAGTAAATAGGAGTACCAAGGTTACTGTGGTAGTTAATGTGAGTACCAAGGTTACTGTGGTAGTTAATAGGATTACCAAGGTTACTGTGGTAGTAAATGTGAGTACCAAGGTTACTTTGGTAGTACATAGGTATTACCAAGGTTACTGTGGTAGTAAATGGGAGAACCAAGGTTACTTTGGTAGTACATAGGTATTACCAAGGTTACTGTGGTAGTAAATGGGAGAACCAAGGTTACTTTGGTAGGACATAGGGATTACCAAGGTTACTGTGGTAGTAAATGTGAGTACCAAGGTTACTGTGGTAGTAAATGTGAGTACCAAGGTTAGTGGTAGTAATGAGTACCAAGGTTACTTTGGTAGGACATAGGGATTACCAAGGTTACTGTGGTAGTAAATGTGAGTACCAAGGTTACTTTGGTAGGACATAGGGATTACCAAGGTTACTGTGGTAGTAAATGTGAGTACCAAGGTTACTTTGGTAGGACATAGGGATTACCAAGGATACTGTGGTAGTAAATGGGAGTACCAAGGTTACTTTGGTAGGACATAGGGATTACCAAGGTTACCGGGGTAGTAAATGTGAGTACCAAGGTTACTGTGGTAGTTAATGTGAGTACCAAGGTTACTGTGGTAGTAAATGTGAGTATCAAGGTTACTGTGATAGTAAATGTGAGTATCAAGGTTACTGTGGTAGTAAATGTGAGTATCAAGGTTACTGTGGTAGTAAATGTGAGTATCAAGGTTACTATGATAGTTAATGTGAGTACTAAGCTTACTGTGGTAGTAAATGTGAGTACCAAGGTTACTTTGGTAGTAAATGTGAGTACCAAGGTACACAGTCTACAAGAGTGAGTAATATAAGTTGGAAAACAGTTGTTGTAACATCAATAAAGTTTTTTATTTATCATCAGAATTTATACACCTTTCCTCCCGAGTGTAAAGGTTTTATATTTTAATATTTTGTTTTTCAGATTGGGATTGGAAGAAAAAAATAATTGGTACGTAGAAGATTTCCTATTGTACGTAGAAGATTTCCTATTGTACGTAGAAGATTTCCAATTGTACGTAGAAGATTTCCTATTGTACGTAGAAGATTTCCTATTGTACGTAGAAGATTTCCTATTGTACGTAGAAGATTTCCTGTTGTACGTAGAAGATTTCCTATTGTACGTAGAAGATTTCCTATTGTACGTAGAAGATTTCCTATTGTACGTAGAAGATTTCCTATTGTACGTAGAAGATTTCCTATTGTACGTAGAAGATTTCCTATTGTACGTAGAAGATTTCCTATTGTACGTAGAAGATTTCCTATTGTACGTAGAAGATTTCCAATTGTACGTAGAAGATTTCCTATTGTACGTAGAAGATTTCCTATTGTACGTAGAAGATTTCCTATTGTACGTAGAAGATTTCCTATTGTACGTAGAAGATTTCCTATTGTACGTAGAAGATTTCCTATTGTACGTAGAAGATTTCCTATTGTACGTAGAAGATTTCCTATTGTACGTAGAAGATTTCCTATTGTACGTAGAAGATTTCCTATTGTACGTAGAAGATTTCCTATTGTACGTAGAAGATTTCCTATTGTACGTAGAAGATTTCCTATTGTACGTAGAAGATTTCCTATTGTACGTAGAAGATTTCCTATTGTACGTAGAAGATTTCCTATTGTACGTAGAAGATTTCCAGTTGTACGTAGAAGATTTCCTGTTGTACATAGAAGATTTCCAGTTGTACGTAGAAGATTTCCTATTGTACGTAGAAGATTTCCTATTGTACGTAGAAGATTTCCTATTGTACGTAGAAGATTTCCTGTTGTACGTAGAAGATTTCCTGTTGTACGTAGAAGATTTCCAATTGTACGTAGAAGATTTCCTATTGTACGTAGAAGATTTCCTATTGTACGTAGAAGATTTCCTGTTGTACATAGAAGATTTCCAGTTGTACGTAGAAGATTTCCAATTGTACGTAGAAGATTTCCTATTGTACGTAGAAGATTTCCTATTGTACGTAGAAGATTTCCTGTTGTACATAGAAGATTTCCAGTTGTACGTAGAAGATTTCCTATTGTACGTAGAAGATTTCCTATTGTACGTAGAAGATTTCCTGTTGTACGTAGAAGATTTCCTATTGTACGTAGAAGATTTCCTATTGTACATGTTATTGCAATACTTATATGTCCTGTTGATGACAGCAGCTCATGACTACAATGTGACAGTCAGATGTTAAGGTTGAGAAAGAGGCTAAAGAGACACAAATGATGGTAGATTAGAATAACAGAAAGTGCTTACAGTATAAAGTTTTATTTGGTTTGGAGAATAATCAATGATATCAAAAAACATAGAATGAATTGTTCAGTAGATGTGTTATTTTACTTAAATAGGTACTGTAGGTAATCCAATGCCTTACGTCAGTGTAAAGGTAGTGAAATTCTCCGAGACTGATCCTGACAAGTATGATGTATTGTGTGAGGGGTCACCAGAGGGCACTACTGTACACACAGGTAAGTACTACACAGGTATGATGTACTGTGTGTCACCAGAGGGCACTACTGTACACATAGGTAAGTACTACACAGGTATGATGTACTGTGTGTCACCAGAGGGCACTACTGTACACACAGGTTAGTACTACACAGGTATGATGTACTGTAAGTCACCAGAGGGCACTACTTTACACACAGATAAGTACTACACAGGTATGATGTACTGTGTGTCACCAGAGGGCACTACTGTACACACAGGTAAGTACTACACAGGTATGATGTACTGTGTGAGGGGACACCAGAGGGCACTACTGTACACACAGGTAAGTAATACACAGATATGGTATACTGTGTGAGGGGACACCAGAGGGCACTACTGTACAAACAGGTAAGTACTACACAGATATGATATACTATGTATCACTAGAGGGCACTACTTTACACACAGGTAAGTACTACACAGGTATGATGTACTGTGTGTCACCAGAGGGCACTACTGTATACACAGGTAAGTACTACACAGGTATGATGTACTGTGTGTCACCAGAGGGCACTACTGTATACACAGGTAAGTACTACACAGGTATAATGTACTGTGTGTCACAAGAGGGCACTACTGTACACACGGATAAGTAATACACAGATATGATATACTATGTGTCACCAGAGGGCACTACTGTACACACAGGTGAGTACTACACAGGTATGGTGTACTGTGTGTCACCAGAGGGCACTACTTTACACACAGGTAAGTAATACACAGATATGATATACTGTGTGTCACCAGAGGGCACTACTGTACACACAGGTGAGTACTACACAGGTATAACCTACTGGACACAGTATTTTGTAACACAAGTACTGTAGATTAAAATACTCACAAATTAGACAGACCAATTCTTATTATATTTTTTAGATGAGGCTGTGACTGGAGAGCTACTGGTTCAAGGTCCCAATGTATTCAATAGTTACTGGAACTTGCCCAAGGCCACACAGGAATCTTTTACAACTGATGGCTGGTTCATCACGGGTATGCCCAGTTTATAGACTTTTATTGTTGTATCTATCTGTGTCTTTTTTGTTTTCTTTTTTTGTAATTCTGTGTCCCTGATGAAAACTATGGTTATCTTGAGGTGACACTTCTATATATAGAACACCTTCTGTCCCTTCCCCCATCATCTGTTGGTTGATCATTGTCTTTTTCGTCTTTTTTTCTGTTTTTTTTTTTTTTTTTTTTGTTTGTCAACATATGAGTTTTTATGTTCAGGTGACAATGTCCATTACAACGGGGAGCTGTATAAGATACAAGGGAGAGTCAGTGTTGATATAATCAAAGTTGGAGGCTTCAAAATTAGCGCCCTTGACATAGAGCAGGTTCTAAGGACCCACCCAGACATCAGTGATGTCGCAGTGATTGGGAAGCCTGATTCTATGTACGGTCAGAAGGTTGTGGCAATTATTTGTCTCCGTGGGAACACAACCCTGATGTTGGAGGAAGTTCGGAATTTCTGTACAGATAAACTGCCCAGTTATCAAATTCCCACTATACTGGAAGTGATGACAGAGTTACCCAGGAATCATATGGGCAAGTGTAATAAAAAGCTTCTGTTAAAGACTTTCTACCCAGACATCAGTTAGTCACCAGTTATAAAACCAGATATGTGCTGTTAACCAACTTTTTCTTGTATGATTTATTTTCGTGAAAGTTAATTGAAAGACATTACAGGGATAATTAGCAACAATTTTTATTACATAATCTATTTTGTGAAAATTAATCAGTGCAAACTTGTTAAGATGCATAAATTGCGTAAAGCTGGTAACCACAAAGTTGTGTTACTGTCAACAGTATTCTGGAATTGTTCACTTTGTTAAAGATCATTTATTTCATATTTGTACATGTTTATGATTTCTGTCAAAGAAGAAGTGTTCTTATGACATCAATTTTGTATATACAATGTAATTTATGTAAATGATGGTGTTTGTGATTAGCGACATTGTATGACAATGTTTGTATCCCTAACTAAGCATGATAAATTAATGCCATTTAGGATTAAAAGTCCCTAAATACAGTCATCCTAGTACTCCTCGGGACAATTAAAAAATCAAAACAGGGAGTTATAAAAATTGCTCTGACAGAGGCTGAAGTGTATTAAATCTCAATTCTTTATCAATGTGTGAACGTGTGGTTATAAAATAATGTAATTGACCCCAAAGGGCCAAGTGAGCTTAAGCCTTGATTAAGTGGATTAAATATTTTGATATTTGGGTGGTATTTTCCTAGGATGAATCCCAACAAATTTTGGAAAAATAAATAACATTGACCAATTTTCAAGGTCAGAGGGGTCAAATTCTTTAAAGCGTTTTAATGACTTCTCATGAAATAAAAAGGCCAAAAGGCATGCTATTTGATCGGTAAATATACACTAGATGAGTGATACAGGCCCATTGGGCCTCTTGTTAATATAAGGAATTCAATGAATTGTGGAATTAAATCCTTTATTTGATTTCGTTTACTGGACTTTTGAACTTCTACAGTCATTTCTCGAACATCATATTTTGAAAATCCCCGAGTTATTTCCCTTTGTTTGATGGTATACACTGTGATAATGAGCTTGACAGTAGATGGGGGCTGAGAATGTTAACATTATTGTTGAGTCTGTAAAAATGGAATAGCTATATGATGCAATTTTATTTATTATTATGTATCAGTGTGTGGTTAGATTTAAGAGAAGAGTTCTATTCACATTTGTACAAACCTTTGTGAGTGGTAAGCTATACTGGATTTGCTGTAAATTTACATACCGTGTTTTAATTCTGATGAAAAGTGGTGCTTTTCAGAAGATAGGAATGAAAATGTAGGCTCCTAAAAGCCAGAAACAGCTTTGTGAAAATGTAGGCTCCTAAAAGCCAGAAACAGCTTTGTGAAAATGTAGGCCCCTAAAAGCCAGAAACAGCTTTGTGGTGCAATCAAAGAATTGATATAAGTAGTTAAAAATACATGTATGACGAAAAGAACTTGGATTGTAAGTTACCAACTGTTTGGTCATTATTAGACTTTTCAGCGAGTCTAGTAACCAAACCTGTAGCTTTAACCAAAGTTAGAATTATTCTACAGATGTTCTATCGACTCCGAGCCGATATACAAAAGTCAATAGATTGGTAGCTATATCCATCTATACTGTTGTATTCACACTTGTTAATATAATTTTGATTATCATTGGGAAATCGATACCCAACCTTTTGGATCTCGTCAAATCCAAAAGTAGCTGGTTTTCTCAAGTATGAGGGGACATCGATCATAACCCAACATTGATCGTTTTGTTTATGGATATTCTTGTTTTCTCTGATAGAGACAAGTCATGTAGTGCCATGTGTGACACAAATTTTGTCATTTGAGCAATTGAAGTAAGAAAATAAGACATAGACTATCCATTGTCAATTTGTATAATTGTTTTATTTATATACACAACATAAAATAACCAACAGAAAAACGTATTTAACATGAACAAGTTGGTCCAACAGAAAAACTTATTTAACATGAACAAGTTGGGCCAAGAGAAAAACTTATTTAACATGAACAAGTTGGTCCAAGAGAAAAGCTTATTTAACATGAACAAGTTGGGCCAAGAGAAAAGCTTATTTAACATGAACAAGTTGGTCCAACAGAAAAACTTATTTAACATGAACAAGTTGGTCCAACAGAAAAACTTATTTAACATGAACAAGTTGGTCCAACAGAAAAACTTATTTAACATGAACAAGTTGGTCCAACAGAAAAACTTATTTAACATGAACAAGTTGGTCCAACAGAAAAACTTATTTAACATGAACAAGTTGGGCCAACAGAAAAACATATTTAACATGAACAAGTTGGTCCAACAGAAAAACTTATTTAACATGAACAAGTTGGTCCAACAGAAAAGCTTATTTAACATGAACAAGTTGGTCCAACAGAAAAACTTATTTAACATGAACAAGTTGGGCCAAGAGAAAAGCTTATTTAACATGAACAAGTTTGGCCAAGAGAAAAACTTATTTAACATGAACAAGTTGGTCCAACAGAAAAGCTTATTTAACATGAACAAGTTGGTCCAACAGAAAAAATTATTTAACATGAACAAGTTGGGCCAAGAGAAAAACTTATTTAACATGAACAAGTTGGTCCAAGAGAAAAGCTTATTTAACATGAACAAGTTGGGCCAAGAGAAAAGCTTATTTAACATGAACAAGTTGGTCCAACAGAAAAACTTATTTAACATGAACAACTTGGTCCAACAGAAAAGCTTATTTAACATGAACAAGTTGGTCCAACAGAAAAAATTATTTAACATGAACAAGTTTGGCCAAGAGAAAAACTTATTTAACATGAACAACTTGGTCCAACAGAAAAGCTTATTTAACATGAACAAGTTGGTCCAACAGAAAAACTTATTTAACATGAACAAGTTTGGCCAAGAGAAAAACTTATTTAACATGAACAAGTTGGACCAAGAGAAAAGCTTATTTAACATGAACAAGTTGGTCCAACAGAAAAACTTATTTAACATGAACAAGTTGGTCCAACAGAAAAACTTATTTAACATGAACAAGTTGGGCCAAGAGAAAAGCTTATTTAACATGAACAAGTTGGGCCAAGAGAAAAGCTTATTTAACATGAACAAGTTGGTCCAACAGAAAAACTTATTTAACATGAACAAGTTGGGCCAAGAGAAAAGCTTATTTAACATGAACAAGTTGGGCCAAGAGAAAAACTTATTTAACATGAACAAGTTGGGCCAAGAGAAAACTTATTTAACATGAACAAGTTGGTCCAACAGAAAAACTTATTTAACATGAACAAGTTTGGCCAAGAGAAAAGCTTTATTAACATGAACAAGTTGGGCCAAGAGAAAAACTTATTTAACATGAACAAGTTGGTCCAAGAGAAAAGCTTATTTAACATGAACAAGTTGGTCCAACAGAAAAACTTATTTAACATGAACAAGTTGGGCCAAGAGAAAAGCTTATTTAACATGAAAAAGTTGGGCCAAGAGAAAAACTTATTTAACATGAACAAGTTGGTCCAACAGAAAAACTTACTTAACATGAACAAGTTTGGCCAAGAGAAAAGCTTATTTAACATGAACAAGTTTGGCCAAGAGAAAAGCTTATTTAACATGAACAAGTTGGGCCAAGAGAAAAGCTTATTTAACATGAAAAAGTTTGGCCAAGAGAAAACTTATTTAACATGAACAAGTTGGGCCCAGAGAAAACTTATTTAACATGAACAAGTTGGGCCAAGAGAAAAGCTTATTTAACATGAACAAGTTGGTCCAAGAGAAAAGCTTATTTAACATGAACAAGTTGGTCCAAGAGAAAAGCTTTATTAACATGAACAAGTTGGGCCAAGAGAAAAACTTATTTAACATGAACAAGTTGGTCCAAGAGAAAAGCTTATTTAACATGAACAAGTTGGTCCAACAGAAAAACTTATTTAACATGAACAAGTTGGGCCAAGAGAAAAGCTTATTTAACATGAAAAAGTTGGGCCAAGAGAAAAACTTATTTAACATGAACAAGTTGGGCCAAGAGAAAAGCTTATTTAACATGAAAAAGTTTGGCCAAGAGAAAAGCTTATTTAACATGAAAAAGTTTGGCCAAGAGAAAACTTATTTAACATGAACAAGTTGGGCCCAGAGAAAACTTATTTAACATGAACAAGTTGGGCCAAGAGAAAAGCTTATTTAACATGAACAAGTTGGTCCAAGAGAAAAGCTTATTTAACATGAACAAGTTGGTCCAAGAGAAAAGCTTATTTAACATGAACAAGTTGGTCCAACAGAAAAACTTATTTAACATGAACAAGTTGGGCCAACAGAAAAACTTATTTAACATGAACAAGTTGGTCCAAGAGAAAAGCTTATTTAACATGAACAAGTTGGTCCAACAGAAAAACTTATTTAACATGAACAAGTTGGTCCAACAGAAAAACTTATTTAACATGAACAAGTTGGGCCAACAGAAAAACTTATTTAACATGAACAAGTTTGGCCGAGAGAAAAACTTATTTAACATGAACAAGTTGGTCCAACAGAAAAAGTTATTTAACATGAACAAGTTTGTCCAACAGAAAAACTTATTTAACATGAACAACTTGGTCCAACAGAAAAGCTTATTTAACATGAACAAGTTGGTCCAACAGAAAAACTTATTTAACATGAACAAGTTTGGCCAAGAGAAAAACTTATTTAACATGAACAAGTTGGACCAAGAGAAAAGCTTATTTAACATGAACAAGTTGGTCCAACAGAAAAACTTATTTAACATGAACAAGTTGGGCCAAGAGAAAAGCTTATTTAACATGAAAACGTTGGGCCAAGAGAAAAACTTATTTAACATGAACAAGTTGGTCCAACAGAAAAACTTACTTAACATGAACAAGTTTGGCCAAGAGAAAAGCTTATTTAACATGAACAAGTTGGTCCAAGAGAAAAGCTTATTTAACATGAACAAGTTGGTCCAACAGAAAAACTTATTTAACATGAACAAGTTGATCCAACAGAAAAACTTATTTAACATGAACAAGTTGGTCCAAGAGAAAAGCTTATTTAACATGAACAAATTGGTCCAACAGAAAAACTTATTTAACATGAACAAGTTTGGCCAAGAGAAAAACTTATTTAACATGAACAAGTTTGGCCAAGAGAAAAACTTATTTAACATGAACAAGTTGGTCCAACAGAAAAACTTATTTAACATGAACAAGTTGGTCCAACAGAAAAACTTATTTAACATGAACAAGTTGTTCCAACAGAACAACTTATTTAACATGAACAAGTTTGGCCAAGAGAAAAACTTATTTAACATGAACAAGTTGGTCCAAGAGAAAAACTTATTTAACATGAACAAGTTGGGCCAAGAGAAAAGCTTATTTAACATGAACAAGTTGGTCCAACAGAAAAAGTTATTTAACATGAACAAGTTTGGCCAAGAGAAAAACTTATTTAACATGAACAAGTTGGGCCAAGAGAAAAGCTTATTTAACATGAACAAGTTGGTCCAACAGAAAAACTTATTTAACATGAACAAGTTGGGCCAAGAGAAAAACTTATTTAACATGAACAAGTTGGTCCAACAGAAAAAGTTGTTTAACATGAACAAGTTTGGCCAAGAGAAAACTTATTTAACATGAACAAGTTGGGCCAAGAGAAAAGCTTATTTAACATGAACAAGTTGGGCCAAGAGAAAAACTTATTTAACATGAACAAGTTGGGCCAAGAGAAAACTTATTTAACATGAACAAGTTTGGCCAAGAGAAAAGCTTATTTAACATGAACAAGTTGGTCCAACAGAAAAACTTATTTAACATGAACAAGTTTGGCCAAGAGAAAAGCTTATTTAACATGAACAAGTTGGTCCAACAGAAAAACTTATTTAACATGAACAAGTTTGGCCAAGAGAAAAGCTTATTTAACATGAACAAGTTGGTCCAACAGAAAAAGTTATTTAACATGAACAAGTTGGGCCAAGAGAAAAGCTTATTTAACATGAACAAGTTTGGCCAAGAGAAAAACTTATTTAACATGAACAAGTTGGTCCAACAGAAAAAGTTATTTAACATGAACAAGTTGGGCCAAGAGAAAAGCTTATTTAACTTGATTTAGTTGAGCCATGACATATTTTATTATAATCAGATTTTTCAAAACGGACATTTTATTAACATGTATTCCAGAGAATTCCAATCATTACAAACACAATTAATGAATTACAATCAAATGATGTGAATTAATCAATTTGATTTAAGAAACAATTGTGAACTTCCTTTGGTAACATTTGTTGCCTTGGACACTTGTAACAAGATATCAGGTTCGTTTGTAATGGACAGTAACCATAGTGATTATTGTAATGTGTGGTTAAACTGAGATGAATTTAATAGATTTGATTTTTCAAAAGTTTAAAGAACAATAAATACAATTAAGTATACAGAGTACAAGATTTTTTTATTTGATCAATTAATAGAATCGAAAAAACTGTGTTTTTCAAAAATACATCAGCAGAAACAAAATAATGATAAAGTCTGCAAAATATTTGTATCTCTAGATATCAACTGGTTAAAGCTGATATACAGGGAACAGAAACCATCATGTATATATAGAAGTTGTCAGAATGACAATTATTTCAAAAATTTCAAAACAGCAATGTTATGAGATGTTCATTGTATATCAGATATATGCAAAAGGCATTTCACAAGCAGGACAAGCTCTGGAAATGTAGATGATAGTTCTGTCCCTCAAGACAAATTAACTGTGACTTGAGAGTGTGACATATGTTTATTGCTGGGTGTTCCTGAGGAGACAATGTATCCTTCGACAAGTGCATACTATGATATGTATGTCTGGTGTCCCCTGGTCTCATGTGATGGGTTCATACCATTGTATGTATGTCTGGTGTCCCCGGGTCTCATGTGATGATTTCATACTATTGTATGTCTGTCTGGTGTCCCCAGGTCTCACGTGATGGGTTCATACTAGGATATGTATGTCTGGTGTCCCCGGGTCTCACATGATTGGTTCATACTATGATATGTATGTCTGGTGTCCCCTGGTCTCATGTGATGATTTCATACTATTGTATGTCTGTCTGGTGTCCCCTGGTCTCATGTGATGATTTCATACTATTGTATGTCTGTCTGGTGTCCCCTGGTCTCATGTGATGATTTCATACTATTGTATGTATGTCTGGTGTCCCCTGGTCTCACGTGATGGGTTCACACTATTGTATGTCTGTCTGGTGTCCCCTGGTCTCATGTGATGATTTCATACTATTGTATGTCTGTCTGGTGTCCCCTGGTCTCATGTGATGATTTCATACTATTGTATGTCTGTCTGGTGTCCCCTGGTCTCATGTGATGATTTCATACTATTGTATGTCTGTCTGGTGTCCCCTGGTCTCATGTGATGATTTCATACTATTGTATGTATGTCTGGTGTCCCGTGGTCTCACGTGAAGGGTTCATACTATTGTATGTATGTCTGATGTCCTCTGGTCTCATGTGATGGGTTCATACTTTGTATGACTTAAAGGTGATGTTAGAAAATTGTTTCTTGTGACAAGTTCATGCTTTGCATGAGCTTGAGTGGAGATAATGATTTTTGTGTTAACCACTGTTTCATCACTGCCTCTGGTGAATGTTAGGAGGATGGAGATGACAATCCTTTTGTTTTCAGGTCGAGATTTTCGCCAACTTTTTCTCCACCTGTTTTTTTTTGGTACTTCGCTGGCTTATTGAGCACCAATTTCCCTCGAATCCTACGAACACATAAAATAATAATCAAAACAAGAACATAATAGAGATTAAGGTTACGAGATTATGGTATAAACTGTGTTACATGTATACTAGTATACATTGTCCTCATAGAACATAATGTATAGAGATAAAGGTTACGAGATGATGGCATAAACTGTGTTACATGTATACTAGTATACATTGTCCTCGTAGAACGTAATGTAATGTTACATGTATACTAGTATACATTGTCCTCATAGAACATAACGTATAGAGATAAAGGTTACGAGATGATGGCATAAACTGTGTTACATGTATACCAGAAAACATTGTCTTCGTTAATGACTGACTAATGAATGCCTACTTATGACCATGTCTCTCTGTAACATTGTATTTTATAATATCTTTTATAATCAAACCTCGTTGTCTCAAACTTATGTAACTCGAAGACCGAGTTTAATCCAGAGTATATTGTCTGACTCACTTAAATCAAATACTCTGACAACTCGAAATTTTCCAACTCTTCTGCTAACTTTGAAATAAAAAAAATCACTTGTATCAAGCTTTGTTAGAGATATATTAAAGTACTAGTAGATTTCTATTCTGACGTGAAATATACCCACACCTTCGTCTGTGATATATGACAGCAACGATGGTTATCAGAACGATAATGGTAACTATGCCTATTACCAAGATGGCCACTGTGGCTCCAACTGTAAACAAACAGGCACATGTAGTTAAGGATTTCATACTTGAAATAGTATTGGCTGTCTTTTGGTTTTTTTTAACCCATAGTGAAACTGCTTCTACAAACCAATGATTTATGTTAGAGTTTGATGTTTTTATGAAGCAATGATTTATAATGAATTCCAGGCATGGATATTTGTATAAAGTGATAATTTACAATAACGGTCAGGCATGGATATTTGTATAAAGTGATAATTTACAATAACAGTCAGGAGATGGATATTTGTATAAAGTGATAATTTACAATAACAGTCAGGAGATGGATATTTGTATAAAGTGATAATTTACAATAACAGTCAGGCATGGATATTTGTATAAAGTGATAATTTACAATAACAGTCAGGCGTGGATATTTGTATAAAGTGATAATTTACAATAATAGTCAGGAGATGGATATTTGTATAAAGTGATAATTTACAAAAACAGTCAGGCATGGATATTTGTATAAAGTGATAATTTACAATAATAGCCAGGAGATGGATATTTGTATAAAGTGATAATTTACAATAACGGTCAGGCATGGATATTTGTATAAAGTGATAATTTACAATAACAGTCAGGCATGGATATTTGTATAAAGTGATAATTTACAATAACAGTCAGGAGATGGATATTTGTATAAAGTGATAATTTACAATAACAGTCAGGCATGGATATTTGTATAAAGTGATAATTTACAATAACAGTCAGGAGATGGATATTGTATAAAGTGATAATTTACAATAACAGTCAGACATGGATATTGTATAAAGTGATAATTTACAATAACAATCAGGCATGGATATTTGTATAAAGTGATAATTTACAATAACAGTCAGGAGATGGATATTTGTATAAAGTGATAATTTACAATAACAGTCAGGAGATGGATATTTGTATAAAGTGATAATTTACAATAACAGTCAGGCATAGATATTTGTATAAAGTGATAATTTACAATAACGGTCAGGCTTGGATATTTGTATAAAGTGATAATTTACAATAACAGTCCGGCACCATAGTGATAATTTGTATAAAGTGATAATTTACAATAACAGTCAGGAGATGGATATTTGTAGAAAGTGATAATTTACAAAAACAGTCAGGCATGGATATTGTATAAAGTGATAATTTACAATAACAGTCAGGCATGGATATTTATATAAAGTGATAATTTACAATAACAGTCAGGAGATGGATATTTGTATAAAGTGATAATTTACAATAACAGTCAGGCATGGATATTGTATAAAGTGATAATTTACAATAACAGTCAGGAGATGGATATTTGTATAAAGTGATAATTTACAATAACAGTCAGGAGATGGATATTTGTATAAAGTGATAATTTACAATAACAGTCAGGCATGGATATTTGTATAAAGTGATAATTTACAATAACAGTCAGGCATGGATATTTGTATAAAGTGATAATTTACAATAACAGTCAGGCATGGATATTTGTATAAAGTGATAATTTACAATAACAGTCAGGAGATGGATATTGTATAAAGTGATAATTTACAATAACAGTCAGGCATGGATATTTGTATAAAGTGATAATTTACAATAACAGTCAGGCATGGATATTTGTATAAAGTGATAATTTACAATAACAGTCAGGAGATGGATATTTGTATAAAGTGATAATTTACAATAACAGTCCGGCACCGATATTTCTGTAAAGTGATAATTTGTATAAAGTGATAATTTACAATAACAGTCAGGAGATGGATATTTCAATGAAATACTAAAATAAAATAAAAACAATACCAGTAGAATCTTAATTCAAACTCAAAATAAATGAAGTAAGGGAAATGTATGAGCTAAAGAAAGACAAGGAGACTCCAGAACATTCCAGAATACTGAACGGTTAAGTCGAAAGGGTGAATTACACTTAGCATTAGGTCACCTGTTTGCTAAATAATGCTAAATACATTCAGTATTAGGTCACCTGTTTGCTAAATAGTGCTAAAAACACTCAGTATTAGGTCACCTGTTTGCTAAATAGTGCTAAATACATTCAGTATTAGGTCACCTGTTTGCTAAATAGTGCTAAAACACTCAGTATTAGGTCACCTGTTTGCTAAATAGTGCTAAAACACTCAGTATTAGGTCACCTGTTTGCTAAATAGCGCTAAAAACACTCAGCATTAGGTCACCTGTTTGCTAAATAGTGCTAAAAACACTCAGTATTAGGTCACCTGTTTGCTAAATAGCGCTAAAAACACTCAGCATTAGGTCACCTGTTTGCTAAATAGTGCTAAATACATTCAGTATTAGGTAACCTTTTACAGTGTTGTAAACTCAATATTAGGTCTGCTAAATACACTATATATTCCATCTTTTAGCCTCGAAGTAGTACTTACAGCTAGAAGCTTTTTCTTCTTGACTATGTGATGGCGGTTTACCAGGTGTTATACCGACTGTGCTATTGTAGACTGAACTTTCGTTCATTGTTATGAAGTCTGCACATAATAACGATAGGTATATATAGGTTATGTCAATCACATTTAAAGAATGATTCAAACAAGGAAACGTTAAATGAAACTAGGAATAGTTGACAAATAAATGGAAAGATTTGATAATCGTACTAGTATAATCTTAAACGTCGAGGCATATTTTTACTACAAATTAGAATTTGTTTTGAAAACTATGGATTAAAGTAGTAGAAATTCACCATTTCGAAGATATCTTTACCTACTTGACCTTAACCGTCAAAGCTCCCGACTCATATTACCTGTTGCTATGGTAGTAGTTGTTAGTTCCTCCGTTGTTGACGTTTTGGTTTCCGGTGTTGCTGTTGTTGACGTTGTTGTTGGCACACTTGCAATGACATTCGTTTTTAATATAATCAAATCGAAGTGATGCTGTATAACAACTCTGTATACACCTACCATGTCATAGATGTTGCTCTGGTCAGGAGAAAACGTAACTTCCTGCTGGTCGTCACTAACGACCACTCCAGGCGGCAGACTTGTCCAGTTCCCGTTGTCTAGAACTGACCACTGATACTTGAGAGACATGCGAGTATCAGTTATGGCTGCCACAAATGCACTGACTGGAGCGTTTGGTGATATTTCGACAATGTTCGGTAAATCTTCTATGACAGTGATGGGATCTGAAACCAAGCAACAATACTGTTAATCCTCTTTATCTCTCACAAAGGTATTATTCTAAACGACGAAGGTCTAACCAATTAACCTTTAACCCAATATGATGTTGGATTAGCTGAAAAACAGTCTACTGCACGGGTGGACTGAATCCACTGGGAGTAATTGCCCCTTCCCCTCCCTCATCATATCTACATATAAAGTCATTCATTGTGGATATTAAGTTTCCATTTCATTTAAGATTTATGAAATGCGTCTAAGAACTTTCCATTTTACCGAGCCTATGTGACGAGTTATAGCAAATTCATGACGTGTTTCCTTAGTGTTGTATAAAACAACTGTAAGATCATGTTCATCCCAATGATAGTTTTTTTTAAACATTCCGAAAAACGGTATGGTATTAGATTAATCAACAAAGTTGTTGTAACCTTCCTCTATTTCCCTTTCTTTAATGACGTCACTATATATATGACGTCATGCAGTTAGACGTCTTGTAATTGGAAACAATTGGAATCTCCAGACAACCACACCCCCGCTAGGGTTTTCAAATGTTTAGTTAAAATGAAGGTTACGTTTTACATTGATATCAGAATAACTGTGTGATTAAAGATCAATATGCTTTAAATGGATTTTTATTTAATTTTATAGACTTACCAATGACAATTAATTTGGCTTCTCGGAAACTGCGTCCTACGCTGTTTTGTACCATGCATTGGATACTAGACGTGTCATTCTTATCCAGACTCTGTACTATTAACGTCGTTCCATTAGTGTAGAATTTCTCGTCAGGACCATCTAGTTTATAGAATCAAGGATACGTTTTTTTCATGATCTTGAAATATATTTTACGACTTGGCATGAAAACGGTGACCTGCGTTGACTAAAGCATGAAGAAATTTAACATTATTCTAGTTTAAAACTAGAAAAATAAAGTATGATTAAGTTAACACCTACAGGATGAAAACAGGATGAACAAAGACAAAACCAGTCCGTGTTGTGGTGTTTCTCTATGTACGCTTCACAAGCATATTGTTATAATGATAGAAAGCGCATAATAAAACAACACAGATTTTTGTCTTTATTTTATGATTTCCTGCCAAACAAGAAACCACTTTTCATTTACGCTGACCATACTTACAGACCTCTATTTCCTGTCCATTCTGATACCATACCGGCAGTTCCGGATTGATCTCATTCGGGAGGGACCTTGATAAACAGTTAAACCGCGCGTCCAAACCTGACGTCAGCACCTGGTCCATCATGGCACCGGTTTCAAAGATGGGAGGTCCTATAGACAAATTAACATCGGTAGATTGAAAATGGGTGTATTTAAAAAAAAAAAAAACACACACACACACATACGAACGTTCTTCGTCGAATGCAAATGTAATACAATAGTATCCTATACTTTCTGTGTCTGACTCCATGGAATTGCTTTATATTTAACAATATAGATGACGTAAAATGTAATTGTAAGTTGTTAACCGACTTCAATTTAGATACAAAGAATAGGACTTTTTACATTGCGTTGAGCCTAAAGTATGCTTCCCCTTCAAACCTCTTCAATGGGTGGAAAGAAAACCTGTTACATATACTAAAATTAAGCATGGTTATAGGAACAAACTCGAAACAAACCCGAAACTGAATAGATAATCCGCGGGCTGTTTTTTTTTTAAAGCAATACGAAAAATCACATTTATAATATTCTACTTCTGAACACATGAGAAATCATTATCTTAAGTAAAGCAAGGTAGATTCATGCTTTAAAGATTTAAAGACATAGTGCTGTGTACGTAGTACGGTAAAGAGAGAAAGAAGACAGTTATAGATAAGAAAATACAGAGGAAAGGACGGAGAAATAAGGTGCCTAAGGGACAATAAAGATTACTTTTCATAATAATTATATTATGATCAAAATTTTTCATACATAAATTTCATATGGATTGTTTTGAAAATTCAATGGGTCTTGTCAAAACAAAAATAAAAATCTGGAATAGGCAAGGCTAGCTATATGGTTTTATCTTTAAATTATGAGGTTGTTAATAAACTTTCTCATTTTGTTTTATTTATTTACATGTTTGTTATTTAGTTACCAATGAACACGAGATGGTGGAATGGTCGGTGATATTTAATTAATGCCAGAATATTGTCTGCTGTGTAAAATAGTCCAACGAAATTATCTAGTCCTATTTTGTTAAAATTGTACGAGCTGAGAGATTTAGTCATGTCCTCTTTCTAATTTATAACCACAAATCATAGAATGAAATGGTAAAATTAAACCAAATTAAGTCATCGATCATGTAATGAATCATAGCCACATACTCTCAAACAGTTGAGTAGTACTTTCCTGTCCTAAAAAGTCTTCCTGTTAGTGGTGATAACACGATTTACAAATGTGTGTTGGTAATAACGTATATTTAAATTGAAATCAGAACGTAATTTCAAGAGGACAATTTTATTATTGTCGAATTTATGGTTGGGAGAATAACAGTTAAGAGTAAAAGTTACTGGAACTCGTTATGTTTTTTTCGGATGAAAACCTATATTGAATATTTCCTGGAATCAGTGCTTATGTCTATTCATTTCTGTGAAGGCGTCATGCAAGCAGACACTTAATTTATTGTAATCTTTGTTATCTATATATTAACATAAATATATTGTTTTATTTTATTCGTATCTTAATTACCTGTGATGTTAAGGTACACTTTACCCACATCATGTGCACCTGTTTGTTGTTGGCCTTGGCAGGTATAGAAGCCTTCGTGTTTATTTGTCAGGTAACTGATAATTAGAGTTTGTTTGTTGTCTTGGAAACTGTAAACATCGCTCTCCTCTATACTGTCACCGTTAACATCCAGCCAATCTATGTCGGGGAGAGGGCTGCAAAAAATGGGAAAAGTTGAATAACAAACAGACTGAAGAAGACGACAGAGAATGGGCAACTGGAAACTAGAGGAGGGCTGTTTTACCGAAACGTTATTTATTTAAATTATTTGGTAAAAGACTATCGGTTCTGTCTCATTATAAAAATATGTAAATGTTTTCATGGGAAAGTGTCGCTAAATATCCAACATCCATATACTCACTATCCTGAAAAGACACACTGAAGTCGACTCGACTCTGCAATCTTTCCGGTGACGCTTTTGTTAAACACCAATGCTGGAGGGTATGATCTCTGTGATCCAGGATCTAACACAAACACAAAAACGACTATATGAGAGTTGTCTGTAATTTCTGTTGTAACTTCTTAATGTATAACAAAAACACAACAACGGAATAAAGTTGAAAATAGATCGTCGGAAAGTATACCACGATACTAATGATACATCAGTTCAAATAAAAATAAATTATTTTTATGACAAGTGGAATGGAATGTAGGAGACACTAAGACACCGCAAAAAGGAAGAATAGAGTGTGAATTTATAAAAGATATTGCTTTATATACTTCAGCACCAAGTAGTGCCAAGTGATGAATTTTGTTACAATGTACAGCTGTTTCATCCTTAAATGACTCGAAAGTGATGACGAGGGCCTAGATTGTTGAAACATACAAAGTAGGGGGCAATGAGTGTCACAGATAGGGAGGCACGTGATCCCATATTTAGTAAATTTTCTGATTTTCCACAATGACTGATTTCAAAGGAACGCCGAGTACACAAATATGTTCGGAAACAAAAGTAAGCAGGGAGTTTAATGTGACTCCGTCAGTATACAACACATACGTGATCTGACACTCAGTCTGGTCGGTTGACCGTGGGTGTGCAGGTACAGCAGTCCATTCCTTACTCCGCAGGTAAAATTTTTCTGGTCCTCAGACAGAGTCAGATACAGGAAGTGAAGTGTTCCTGCATCGTAACATATGGAAGAGGATGAACATGTATGGTAAAGATTGAAGTCTATATCAAAGGAGGAAAAAGAGGGGTCCATTAAACAAAATTCAGAAGTGGGACATTAAAAGTGTACTGTGTAAGGTATATACTAATTTCACGCACAAAGGTCACGATCAAGTCTCCTGGTTAAACATTCTAGTACGATCGGAAAGCCTTGTCACAAAGGTTAAAGTTGACACCAGACAACCAAACATAGTACAAACACGATGTGCCCCCGATCTTTATGTCCGGGGACATAAACATGACACGTGTCCTACAGCCTAGGATGACTGTCGGGTTAATGATTGTAAATAGTAGGTAAGTCGTTATTGTCGTATCTCAACTGTATATCATATATAACCATACTTACAAAGAATAAGTAAGGATTATCTAGTTTCGGGTTTTCATATATTGTAAAATTAGGTGTGAGGGATTTGGAACATAAAAGAGTTTTAATGTATTAAAATATAAAACAACCTGACATACCATACAAATACATGACCTTGTTTTACCTTCGCTATCCACAAAAATGCGTCTTTCAGTTGGGATGACGTCGCCTTTGCCATTCGTCCATATCAACGTGCACTCACTAGACGGTAGACATGTTGGTCGGTCTGTACAGGGAAGGGCAATATGTTGGTACTGGTCTTCACTAACTGTCTTCCTACGTAGCGTTTGAAATGCTCCCAACACTGCAAAACAATTATTGTATCGAAGTGGCCATTAATCAACAAATGCCGAACATATCGTGAAATATTAACACTCCCGCGAACTTGAAGCGGTATTGAGTTGTCGTTCTTGACTACAACGCTAAGCATGATAGGAGTTCTTTCTTGTTTATTGTGAAGTAAGTGTACTGTTTTTATATCAAGAAATTATTCAAAACTCATATGCGCTCATATTTTAGCATGCGAAGCTCTGGATTTGTCGTGACAAATACCAGGGTAAGAAATTCCCTTTGTTGGAATTTCCCGACTCTAAATTAGATCGAAATGACGACATTTGCTTTATTCAAGCGATTTCATTGTTTGGTATAATAAGATGATGGATAATCGTCCTACGTCATTTTAAAAGTAATATGCGATTGGCTGAGAAAAAGAAAAGTTATAAACGCGAAACCAGGGGAAACCTGCAAGTCGTACTCTCGGTATACAGTCACGGACTATCTCCTGACTTCACGATAACCTTTTTTGACGGTGAAATTCCGTTTGCTTTTAAATTAGAAATTAATTGTACATTTTCATGAATACTTCAACTATAATTCGCCGAAAGTAATAGAGTTAATTTTTCATCGATAGCGAACAACGGACGGAAAACTCAACAAACTCGGGCTTTCATGCACAAGAATCTGTTCACTCGCCAAGAAGGACAAGTATTTCCCGCTATGTATTGTATGTTAACACGTGTATGGTTTATAAAATAGGACGCTCGTTTTCAAACCAGACTAAAACAAAATCATTTTAACACGGAATATTTGCCTCTGTCCTCTTAATAATATTTTTCTTCCATTTTGTACTTTAAAATCCTTTGTCAACTTTGCTAATTACACTGAGATTCAAATTGAAATGACCACATATATATTTAATCAGCATGCTTATTCAATGAATTAACCTTTCTAAGCTTTATGTATTGAACAAAAATTGCGAAGTTTTCTTTGCTTATATAAATCACCCTTGTTGTCCCCAATGGAAGTTTTACGAGGAGCCTTAATGTTGGAGGAAACCGGAGTTCTAGGGCAAAACCACGTGGTCAGGCAGGTAACCCTATATCACGTTCGTGCCGAAAATCGAACCCCGGACCGCAAGGTGAAAGGCAAATGCGTTACCACTGCGTCATCCGACCAAACTTATTCAGGGCTATTTAACATAAGGAAGGCGGAGTTTTTCGATATAGATGTCAAGTTAGAATTTGAAGAGGTGCAGTAAGTTCCTATCGTTTAATAAGTACTGACCGGCAATAGCGATGGTTATCTGCCGAGAAAAAGAAGCGCCGTTTCTGTTTGTTGCTTTACACTGGTAGGTCCCTTTGGTACTGGAATCAGGATTCGTAAGAACAAGGGTTCCTGATGACGTCACATTTGCCTTTTTAGAATCAAGAAAGGGATGTTCATTCTTTATCCATGTGATCCTGAAAAAATAGAGCTATCACAATTAGGTCGGAAAGTCACACTCTGTAGGCAAATGTCAATTACGTCGGAAAGTCCCAATCTGTAGGCAAATGTCAATTACGTCGGAAAGTCACACTCTGTAGGTAAATGTCAATTACGTCGGAAAGTCCCAATCTGTAAGCAAATGTCAATTACGTCGGAAAGTCACACTCTGTAGGCAAATGTCAATTACGTCGGAAAGTCACACTCTGTAGGCAAATGTCAATTACGTCGGAAAGTCACACTCTGTAGGCAAATGCCAATTACGTCGGAAAGTCACACTCTGTAGGCAAATGTCAATTACGTCTGAAAGTCCTACTCTGTAGGCAAATGTCAATTACGTCGGAAAGTCCCACTCTGTAGGCAAATGTCGCTATCGACATAAAAGATTTAAACATTAAATTGTTACCTGATGTGACATACACTCGATAATTTGATAGTTTAGTTACCTGATGGGACACACAGTTGATAGTTTGTTACCTGTTGAGAAACACAGTTGATAGATTTGTTACCTGATGGGACATATAGTTGATAGATTTGTTACCTGATTGGACACACATTTGATAGTTTAGTTACCTGATGGGACACACAGTTGATATTTTTTTACCTGATGGGACATATAGTTGATAGATTTGTTACCTGATGGGACATACAGTTGATAGTTTTGTTACCTGATGGGACACACAGTTGATAGTTTTGTTACCTGATGGGACACACAATTGATAATTTGATAGTTTTGTTACCTGATGGGACACACAGATGATAGATTTGTTACCTGGTGGGACACACAGTTGATATTTTTGTTACCTGATAGGACACACAGTTGATAGTTTTGTTACCTGATGGGACACACAGTTGATATTTTTTTTTACCTGATGGGACATATAGTTGATAGATTTGTTACCTGATGGGACACACAGTTGATATTTTTTTTTACCTGATGGGACATATAGTTGATAGATTTGTTACCTGATGGGACACACAGTTGATAGTTTTGTTACCTGATGGGACACACAGTTGATATTTTTGTTACCTGATGGGACACACAGTTGATAGTTTTGTTACCTGATGGGACACACAATTGATAATTTGATAGTTTTGTTACCTGATGGGACACACAGTTGATAGTTTTGTTACCTGATAGGACACACAGTTGATAGTTTTGTTACCTGATGGGACACACAGTTGATAGTTTTGTTACCTGGTGGGACACACAGTTGATAGTTTAGTTACCTGATGGGACACACAGTTGATAGTTTTGTTACCTGGTGGGACACACAGTTGATATTTTTGTTACCTGATGGGACACACAGTTGATAGTTTTGTTACCTGATGGGACACACAGTTGATAGTTTTGTTACCTGATGGGACACACAGTTGATAGTTTTGTTATCTGATGGGACACACAGTTGATAGTTTTGTCACCTGATGGGACACACAGTTGATAGTTTTGTTACCTGATGGGACACACATTTGATAGTTTTGTCACCTGATGGGACACACATTTGATAGTTTAGTTACCTGATGGGACACACAGTTGATATTTTTTTTACCTGATGGGACATATAGTTGATAGTTTTGTTACCTGATGGGACACACAGTTGATAGTTTTTTTACCTGATGGGACACACAGTTGATAGTTTTGTTACCTGATGGGACACACAGTTGATAGTTTTGTTACCTGATGGGACATACAGTTGATAATTTGATAGTTTTGTTTAGTTACATATTTTTTGTGAAGATCTTGCTTAAGTTTAACAACTTCGGACGTGTCAGTTCACTGTATACCGAAGTGAAAGTGACCGGCGGTCAGTTTTGTTTACCCAAGAGATATCTAGATTTATTGATTACAACACCAATCGAATCACTGTAAGTTATAGGTCTGATGTATCACTACGTAGTGACGATGTGAGAGCGAATGTTACTACTAGCATTACGTATTGGCGGACATCTCACCTTGACCACTGAATGTGTATATCAGTATATACCGTACACTTGACCGGATGTGTGTTATAGGCTGATAAAATCCAATCTGGTTTACATAGAACTAAACGGGAAACTGGTGGTAGAATTTAAAAAGCAGATGTATATAATGTTGTGAGTACATTCAGTAATCTCTCTTTATAACTCTCGTTAATGATAAGCCCTGGTTAGATCGACTCTTAGGTTTACATCTTGTTGACGTGTCGGTATTTCTTTATTGTATATATAGATCTGAGTAAAAACAAAACTTACATAGGAGTAGGATTGCCTGTAGCTTCACATGTCAGGTTAAAGGAACTTCCGTTGTAAGGTCTAACATAATATGTGTCTTTATATCGAGTCACTATTGATGGCAGTCCGAACACGGCTGCTGTAAATAAACGTGAGAAGATTAGGCATCAAAATGTACTCTATATGCACAGAATAGGTGTGACATTAGACGACAAAATGTACTCTACATGTACAGAAATGTGTGACGTTAGGTGACAAAATGTACTCTACATGTACAGAATAGGTGTGACATTAGACGACAAAATGTACTCTACATGTACAGAATAGGTGTGACATTAGACGACAAAATGTACTCTACATGTACAGAATAGGTGTGACATTAGGCGACAAAATGTACTCTACATGTACAGAAATGTGTGACGTTAGGTGACAAAATGTACTCTACATGTACAGAATAGGTGTGACATTAGGCGACAAAATGTACTCTACATGTACAGAATAGGTGTGACATTAGGCGACAAAATGTACTCTACATGTACAGAATAGGTGTGACATTAGGCGACAAAATGTACTCTACATGTACAGAATAGGTGTGACATTAGGCGACAAAATGTACTCTATATGTACAGAATAGGTGTGACATTAGGCGACAAAATGTACTCTACATGTACAGAATAGGTGTGACATTAGGCGACAAAATGTACTCTATATGTACAGAATAGGTGTGACATTAGGCGACAAAATGTACTCTATATGTACAGAATAGGTGTGACATTAGGCGACAAAATGTACTCTACATGTACAGAATAGGTGTGACATTAGGCGACAAAATGTACTCTATATGTACAGAATAGGTGTGTGACATCTACATGTACAGAATAGGTGTGACATTAGACGACAAAATGTACTCTACATGTACAGAATAGGTGTGACATTAAGCGACAAAATCTACTCTACATGTACAGAATAGGTGTGACATTAGGCGACAAAATGTACTCTACATGTACAGAATAGGTGTGACATTAAGCGACAAAATCTACTCTACATGTACAGAATAGGTGTGACATTAAGCGACAAAATCTACTCTACATGTACAGAATAGGTGTGACATTAGGCGACAAAATGTACTCTACATGTACAGAATAGGTGTGAATTGTGTACATCTATATGACAGAATATATTTACTCTACATGTACAGAATATGTGTGACATTAGATGACAAAATGTACTCTACATGTACAGAATAGGTGTATATCAGATATGTGTTACATGTACAGAATAGGTGTGACATTGAATACATGTACAGAAATGTGTGACGTTAGGTGACAAAATCTTCCGAAATGAACACAGATATGTGTTACATAAGATGAATGATATATTTAGTTATATGTACAGATATGTGTTACATAAGATGAATGATGTATTTAGTTATATGTACAGATATGTGTTACATAAGATGAATGATGTATTTAGTTATATGTACAGATATGTGTTACATAAGATGAATGATATATTTAGTTATATGTACAGATATGTGTTACATAAGATGAATGATGTATTTAGTTATATGTACAGATATGTGTTACATAAGATGAATGATGTATTTAGTTATATGTACAGATATGTGTTACATAAGATGAATGATGTATTTAGTTATATTTACAGATATGTGTTACATAAGATGAATGATGTATTTAGTTATATGTACAGATATGTGTTACATAAGATGAATGATATATTTAGTTATATGTACAGATATGTGTTACATAAGATGAATGATATATTTAGTTATATGTACAGATATGTGTTACATTAGACGAATGATATACTTATCACATAAAAAATACATATCACGACAGGTGTTAATACCAGTGAAGTGTAATAACTTAATGTTAACATTAGATACATTTATATACCGTCAAGGTCAAGAGGTTGAAATTATTGTGATAAATCCACACAGCCAAGGTCATTATGGCAAACAAATTTATAAAACATCATTAAAAGACGAAAAATAAAAATATAGAAAATGCAGTAAATACATAATGTTTATAGATAGATATAATATGTACAAAGTAATTGTCAATAATCCTACTTTTGTTTGTTCCTTCCATGGACGACGTGTATTGTAACTGGAAGAAGAAGAATACCAATAGACACAGCATCATCTTTAGTTTGTATCCTTATCCTCGTGTAACTCGCCGAACGGAGAGTAAAACCACAGTTATATACTTATATACTTTGACAAGGGGAAGGAAACATTAAGGAATAACAATAATGAATTAAACTGTATCCTACGACTATTAGGTTCTTCTAGGAGGTATCTATTGATACATTGTATACACCTAGAAGGTATCTACTGATACATTGTATACACCTAGGACGTATCTAGTGATACATTGTATACACCTAGGAGGTATCTAGTATACATTGTATACACCTAGGAGGTATCTAGTGATACATTGTATACACCTAGGAGGTATCTAGTGATACATTGTATACACCTAGGAGGTATCTAGTGATACATTGTATACACCTAGGAGGTATCTAGTCTACATTGTATACACCTAGGATGTATCTAGTGATACATTGTATACACCTAGGAGGTATCTAGTGATACATTGTATACACCTAGGAGGTATCTAGTGATACATTGTATACACATAGGAGGTATCTAGTGATACATTGTATACACCTAGGAGGTATCTAGTGATACATTGTATACACCTAGGAGGTATCTAGTGATACATTGTATACACCTAAGTGGTATCTAGTGATACATTGTATACACCTAGGAGGTATCTGGTGATACATTGTATACACCTAGGAGGTATCTAGTGATACATTGTATACACCTAGGAGGTATCTAGTGATACATTGTATACACCTAGGAGGTATCTAGTGATACATTGTATACACATAGGAGGTATCTAGTGATACATTGTATACACCTATGAGGTATCTAATCTACATTGTATACACCTAGAAGGTATCTAGTGATACATTGTATACACCTAGGAGGTATCTAGTCTAGATTGTATACACCTAGGAGGTATCTAGTGATACATTGTATACACCTAGGAGGTATCTAGTGATACATTGTATACACCTCGGAGGTATCTAGTGATACATTGTGTACACATAGGAGGTATCTAGTGATACATTGTATACACCTAGGAGGTATCTAGTCTACATTGTATACACCTAGGAGGTATCTAGTGATACATTGTATACACCTAGGAGGTATCTAGTGATACATTGTATACACCTAGGAGGTATCTAGTGATACATTGTATACACCTAGGAGGTATCTAGTGATACATTGTATACACCTAGGAGGTATCTAGTGATACATTGTATACACCTAGGAGGTATCTAGTGATACATTGTATACACCTAGGAGGTATCTAGTGATACATTGTATACACCTAGGAGGTATCTAGTGATACATTGTATACACCTAGAAGGTATCTAGTGATACATTGTATACACCTAGGAGGTATCTAGTGATACATTGTATACACCTCGGAGGTATCTAGTGATACATTGTATACACCTAGGAGGTATCTAGTGATACATTGTATACACCTAGAAGGTATCTAGTGATACATTGTATACACCTCGGAGGTATCTAGTGATACATTGTGTACACATAGGAGGTATCTAGTGATACATTGTATACACCTAGGAGGTATCTAGTGATACATTGTATACACCTAGGAGGTATCTAGTGATACATTGTATACACATTGTATACACCTAGGAGGTATCTAGTGATACATTGTATACACCTAGGAGGTATCTAGTGATACATTGTATACACCTAGAAGGTATCTAGTGATACATTGTATACACCTAGAAGGTATCTAGTGATACATTGTGTACACCTAGAAGGTATCTAGTCTACATTGTATACACCTCGGAGGTATCTAGTGATACATTGTGTACACATAGGAGGTATCTAGTGATACATTGTATACACCTAGGAGGTATCTAGTGATACATTGTATACACCTAGGAGGTATCTAGTGATACATTGTATACACCTAGGAGGTATCTAGTGATACATTGTATACACCTAGGAGGTATCTAGTCTACATTGTATACACCTAGGAGGTATCTAGTGATACATTGTATACACCTAGGAGGTATCTAGTGATACATTGTATACACCTAGGAGGTATCTAGTGATACATTGTATACACCTAGGAGGTATCTAGTGATACATTGTATACACCTAGGAGGTATCTAGTGATACATTGTATACACCTAGGAGGTATCTAGTGATACATTGTATACACCTAGGAGGTATCTAGTGATACATTGTATACACCTAGGAGGTATCTAGTGATACATTGTATACACCTAGGAGGTATCTAGTGATACATTGTATACACATAGGAGGTATCTAGTGATACATTGTATACACATAGGAGGTATCTAGTCTACATTGTATACACCTAGGAGGTATCTAGTCTAGATTGTATACACCTAGGAGGTATCTAGTGATACATTGTAAACACCTAGGAGGTATCTAGTGATACATTCTATACACATAGGAGGTATCTAGTGATACATTGTATACACCTAAGAGGTATCTAGTGATACATTGTATACACCTAGAAGGTATCTAGTGATACATTGTATACACCTAGGAGGTATCTAGTGATACATTGTATACACCTAGGAGGTATCTAGTGATACATTGTATACACCTAGGAGGTATCTAGTGATACATTGTATACACCTAGGAGGTATCTAGTGATACATTGTATACACCTAGGAGGTATCTAGTGATACATTGTATACACCTAGGACGTATCTAGTGATACAATATACAACTTGGAGGTATCTAGTCTACATTGTATACACCTAGGAGGTATCTAGTGATACATTGTATACACCTAGGAGTGATACATTGTATACACCTAGGAGGTATCTAGTTATACATTGTGTATACCTAGAAGGAATCTAGTCTACATTGTATACACCTAGGAGGTATCTGGTGATACATTGTATACACCTAGGAGGTATCTAGTGATACATTGTATACACCTAAGAGGTATCTAGTGATACATTGTATACACCTAGGAGGTATCTAGTGATACATTGTATACACCTAGGAGGTATCTAGTGATACATTGAATACACCTAGGAGGTATCTAGTGATACATTGTATACACCTAGGAGGTATCTAGTGATACATTGTATACACCTAGGAGGTATCTAGTGATACATTGTATACACCTAGGAGGTATCTAGTCTACATTGTATACACCTAGAAGGTATCTAGTGATACATTGTATACACCTAGGAGGTATCTAGTGATACATTGTATACACATAGGAGGTATCTAGTCTACATTGTATACACCTAGGAGGTATCTAGTGATACAATATACACCTAGTAGGTATCTAGTCTACATTGTATACACCTAGGAGGTATCTAGTGATACATTGTATACACCTAGGAGGTATCTAGTGATACATTGTATACACCTAGGAGGTATCTAGTGATACATTGTATACACCTAAGAGGTATCTAGTGATACATTGTATACACCTAGAAGGTATCTAGTGATACATTGTATACACCTAGGAGGTATCTAGTGATACATTGTATACACCTAGAAGGTATCTAGTGATACATTGTGTACACCTAGAAGGTATCTAGTCTACATTGTATACACCTCGGAGGTATCTAGTGATACATTGTGTACACCTAGGAGGTATCTAGTGATACATTGTATACACCTAGGAGGTATCTAGTGATACATTGTATACACATAGGAGGTATCTAGTCTACATTGTATACACCTAGGAGGTATCTAGTGATACATTGTATAACCTAACAGGTATCTAGTGATACATTGTATACACCTAGGTGGTATCTAGTGATACATTGTATACACCTAGGAGGTATCTGGTGATACATTGTATACACATAGGAGGTATCTAGTGATACATTGTATACACCTAGGAGGTATCTAGTGATACATTGTATACACCTAGGAGGTATCTAGTGATACATTGTATACACCTAGGAGGTATCTAGTCTACATTGTATACACCTAGGAGGTATCTAGTGATACATTGTATACACCTAAGAGGTATCTAGTGATACATTGTATACACCTAGGAGGTATCTAGTGATACATTGTATACACCTAGGACGTATCTAGTGATACAATATACAACTTGGAGATATCTAGTGATACATTGTATACACCTAAGAGGTATCTAGTGATACATTGTATGTAGGAGGTATCTAGTTACCCATCTGTGTGTATGGTAAGAGGTGATCACCGGTGTGTAAGGTAAACGTTACCATCCGTGTGTATGGTAACAGGTGATCACCTGTGTGTAAGGTAAACGTTACCATCTGTGTGTATGGTAACAGGTGATCACCTGAGTGTAAGGTAAACGTGATCATCTGTGTGTATGTTAACAGGTGATCATCTGTGTGTAAGGTAAACGTTACCATCTATGTGTATGTTAACAGGTGATCACCGGTGTGTAAGATAAACGTTACCATCTGTGTGTATGGTAAGAGGTGATCACCGGTGTGTAAGGTAAACGTTACCATCTGTGTGTATGGTAACAGGTGATCACCTGTGTGTAAGGTAAACGTTACCATCTGTGTGTATGGTAACAGGTGATCACCCGTGTGTAAGGTAAACGTGATCATCTGTGTGTATGGTAACACGTGATCACCAGTTTTTAAAGTAAAACGTGATCACCTAACTCCAATAATTCAATATTGAATATTCAATTGATCTCGTATTTATTAACCTTTTTGTTTGTTTCTCCTTGCAATAGAATACCAAAAGTTAAAAAAGACTACAAATAAGTACGTCAAATTCTGCTGTTCCTTCAATATCAGATCTAACGTAAGTAGAACATTAATATTGATATGTGTAGAGGTAACACTTAACAAAAACCTGTGTATGTTACACGAAGAGTTGTTAAAACTGAATATTATTATCATCGTTATTATAATAGGCCTTAATGAGGAATGTGTGACAGTACAAACATAACCAATGTGACCGCAGCATGAATTGGCGAGCATCTCAACACAAATGAGGAAGGAAGTTGTGGCTGTGCCGCGATCTCGTCCAGCCTAGACAAACCCATTTCGTTAAATTCACGACGTCACGAACGCGTCGTCAGGGCGTCAAATCATCCACCCTAAACATGTCTAAAGCGCCAAATCTGTGACGTCATGATCTCGTCTTCCGAACAGCCTGGATATATCTATAACGTCTAATCTACGACATCGTGACTTTTTATCTGGGCTCCAAATAGTTCTACCTGGAAATGTCTTTAACACCAAATCTACAACGTCAAGACCTCGTCTTCCGGACAGCCTAGACATATCTATAGCGTCTAATCTACGACATTTCTCTGTGTGCTGTATTCCTCTCTGCGTGTTGTATTCCTGTGTGTGCTGTATCCCTGTGTGTGCTGTATTCATGTGTGTGCTGTATCCCTGTATGTGCTGTATTCCTGTGTATGCTGTATCCCTGTATGTGCTGTATTCATGTGTGTGTGCTGTATACATGTGTGTGTTGTATCCTTGTGTGTGCTGTATTCCTGTATGTGTACGTCATTCCTGTGTGTGCTGTATCCTTGTGTGTGATCTATTCCTGTATGTGCTGTATCCCTGTCTGTGCTGTATTCCTGTCTGTGCTGTATCCCAGTATGTGCTGTATTTCTGTGTGTGATGTATCCCTGTGTGTGCTGTATTCCTGTGTGTGCTGTATTCCTGTGTGTACTGTATTCATGTGTGTGTGCTGTATCCCAGTATGTGCTGTATTCCTGTGTGTGATGTATCCCTGTGTGCTGTAATCATGTATGTGTGCTGTATTCCTATGTGCTGTATTCCTGTAAGTGCTGTATTCCTGTATGTGCTGTATCCCTGTGTGTGCTGTATTCCTGTCTGTGCTGTATCCCAGTATGTGCTGTATTTCTGTGTGATGTATCCCTGTGTGTGCTGTATTCAGGCGTGTACTGTATTCCTGTGTGTACTGTATCCCTAAGTGCTGTATTCCTGTGTGTATGCTGTATCCCTGTATGTGCTGTATTCCTGTAAGTGCTGTATTCCTGTAAGTGATGTATCCCTGTATGTGCTGTATTCCTGTAAGTGCTGTATTCCTGTATGTGCTGTATTCCTGTGTGTGCTGTATTCCTGTATGTGCTGTATTCCTGTATGTGCTGTATTCATGTATCTGCTGTATTCCTGTGTGTACTGTATCCCTATGTGCTGTATTCCTGTAAGTGCTGTATTCCTCTGTGTGTGCTGTATCCATGTGTGTGCTGTATCCATGTGTGTGTGCTGTATTCCTGTATGTGCTGTATTCCTGCATGTGCTGTATTCCTGTGTGTGCTGTATCCCTGTGTGCTGTATTCCTGTGTGTGTGCTGTATTCCTGTAAGTGCTGTATTCCTGTGTGTGTGCTGTATTCCTGTGTGTGCTGTATTCCTGTGTGTGCTGTATTCCTGTGTGGGTGCTGTAGTCCTGTGTGTGTGCTGTATTCCTGTGTGTGCTGTATTCCTGTATGTGCTGTATTCCTGTATGTGCTGTATTCATGTATGTGCTGTATTCCTGTGTGTGTGCTGTATCCCTGTAAGTGCTGTATTCCTTTGTGTGCTGTATTCATGTATGTGCTGTATTCCTGTATGTGCTGTATTCCTCTGTGTATTGTATTTCTTTGTGTGTGCTGTATCCCAGTATGTGATGTATTCCTGTGTGTGCTGTATTCCTGTGTGTGTGCTGTATTCATGTGTGTGTGCTGTATTCCTGTGTGTGCTGTATCCCTGTGTGCTGTATTCCTGTGTGTGCTGTATTCCTGTGTGTGTGCTGTATTCCTGTATGTGATGTATTTCTGTATGTGCTGCATTACTGTGTGTGTGCTGTATTCCTGTGTGTGTGCTGTATTCCTGTATGTGATGTATTCCTGTATGTGCTGTATTCCTGTGTGTGCTGTGTTCCTGTGTGTGTGTTGTATTCCTGTATGTGATGTATTCCTGTATGTGCTATATTCCTGTAAGTGCTGTATTCCTGTGTGTGATGTATTGCTGTGTGTGATGTATTCCTGTGTGTGCTGTATTCCTGTGTGTGTGCTGTATTCCTGTATGTGCTGTATTCCTGTGTGTGCTGTATTCCTGTGTGTGTGCTGTATTCCTGTGTGTGATGTATTCCTGTATGTGCTATATTCCTGTAAGTGCTGTATTCCTGTATGTGCTGTATTCCTGTATGTGCTGTATTCTTGTGTGTGATGTATTCCTGTAAGTGCTGTATTCCTGTGTGTGCTGTATTCCTGTATGTGCTATATTCCTGTAAGTGCTGTATTCCTGTATGTGCTATATTCCTGTATGTGCTGTATTCCTGTGTGTGTGATGTATTCCTGTATGTGCTGTATTCCTGTGTGTGTGATGTATTCCTGTAAGTGCTGTACCCCTGTATGTGCTGTATTCCTGTATGTGCTGTATTCCTGTGTGTGCTGTAATCCTGTATGTGCTGTATTCCTGTATGTTCTGTATTCCTTTGTGTGATGTATTCATGTATGTGTTGCATTCCTGTGTGTGCTGTATTCCTGTGTGTCATTATTCCTATATGTGCTGTATTGGTTTAATCAATCGTACAAAGGTTTACAACAAGAAATAGTTATGCTGTATTTCTCGTCACTGAGAGTCGACGTGAACACAATATTTTCCATGTGACACATACATGTAATTATTTCAGACAACGTCCCAAATACACACTTTAAATATATGTTTCAACTTTCATATAAACACAACATAACTCTACATACTATAAATATATATAAATATGGATTCTAAACACACTGCTTTATCAAAGCATAACTCATACTTTACAGTCATTTAAAGTGATCATATTTATACACCCTTGTTTATCTTGATGGAAGAGCTCGGGGGTCGTGCCGAGAGAGGAAGCTTGAGAACGAGGTGACCGTCTGTTGTCTCGGTTACAGAATTCACTGTCGGTTAATTTCGTGTTTGATTTTTGGTCATGTCGGAATGAAGGTAAGATGGAACGTTGATGTTAATGGTAACGAAATGATATTGTATTGCCAAACTTCTATGATAGAATAGCAGAAACGAGAGCTCGCTTTTCTCCAGACCTTATGCATTCTGTGCACGTCGAATATATTTGTAGTAAACACTTCTCACTGTGAAATCGGTCGGGCGAACAAGAGGCTTACTGATATTGTCGCACACTTAACAATTATGTAAAAAAGATCGTGTGTCTAGTACATTGACCCAATTCTTACTTTACATCCTAACTAAGCACGTGCTGTGGTTTGAAATGTATGCGAGATCACTATTTCTACTGGTGTCGATTTATTGGTATGCTTAATTTATTATTGCAATACTTTATGACCAGCGTAAGAGTGGAACAGACAGGTGACCAAGGGCCGTAGCTGATATTGTATATCAAGTTAAGAATTGTTATTCTTTGTGTTAAACATCAACGTGGATGTAAACACATGCACACCTTACATATCACGTTAGACAGAGGTCATAGGTCAACTAAGTCGTGAAAACTGATCTCATAATATACAAGTGACTGGTAACCAAGGGTCACAGGACTAATTACTAAATCATTACTAGATATTTTTTCGATTGCTTATATTGAATATATGTCACCAAAAGGTCATAGGTCAAATAGCACATAAATATAATTTAATGAGGTCAATACCCCCCCCCCCCCCATATTTCGGGGGGGGGGGGTGACAACTCCCTGGGTCATATGATGAGGGTGCATAATACGGATGATGGGGTCACATTTATAAATCTCTAGTGCTATCAGCTACCACACTGAAATGGAAGTATGCCCACCAATCCGGTTTGCTATACCCCCATTACTGTATTCATGTGTTAAAAAGTTAAGACTAGAAGCCCTTAACCGTAATCAAACTGCTATGTTTTGTCTCCAATATAATAACAGTCAACCTTGTGATCTTTCGACTTGCTGAGTGCAGATTTGAACAAATAAAATCGCTCACACACACACACACACACACACACACACACACACACACACACACACACAGAGAGAGAGAGAGAGAGAGAGAGACAGAGAGAGAGACAGAGAGAGAGAAAACAGAAAGCTACACCTGGCTATTTAAAAATTGTTTTTAGAGAGAGGACTCAAAAATTAATACATTCTTATTGCAAACCTTGTGTTTTTTTCTGTGGTTTCACTCTGTTTCGACATTATTACGATATTAACATATTAAGATTCAAATCTTAAGGAACATGTCTCTGGATACGTAGGAAACATCACACGAATGGTCAATCATCAGAGCGAGATCAATATTCAGAAAAACACACATGATTGATTTATCCTCAGACCCAACAATTATAAAAGTGCTAAGTTTTATGTTACAATACTTACGAATACCTTGACATGTGACAGTGCTCGAAAATAACTTTCCTTGCGATAACCTGTTGACCGTGTACTTTATGCTCTAATAAATGGGCCCATGCATTATTTTCGTCACTGATGTGTTCTTTGTCGGGACAGGGTTAGAGACCTACATAACATGGGTTATTTTAAAAAATCATCTGTGACATATTTAGGTAAACATTCTACAGCTGTGTGTGTTAACGAGAGATAATACACACGGAAACAGAATGGCTGCTGTTGGAGGAAGGTAAAATCTTTAACCTATTGGTATATTATTGATGTAATAATGTTTACTATTTCACTTATAGTTACTCAAAGCTTATATACTATGTTTACTTATGTTAGCAGTATTCTAACGACACGAGAGGAGTGTACTCGGATGTAGATCCGATCCACGTATGTGTACTTTCCGGTGTTTACGTACAAATCTGTTGTCGAATTCATCTGTCTTGTTGACTACAAACTCAAAAAAAAATACGAAGACTGGTAAAATAAACAATTATTTATTATTGACTTATACTTAAACAGAACGCAGATGAAACCGTGGTACTACATATGTAAACATTACTGAGAACTCGTCTAGACATGTAATTCAACCTGACTGCATTATAACCGCAAACTCCACTACACTACACTACACTGTAGTAGTGTCATTATTTGTCAATATTGCTTTTAACATATTTGTAGTATTTTAGCTGTGTGCGTTCGTGTGTAACGGAAATCAGCCTACCGTAAATATTGTACTTGGCACATTGCGGCAAAACTTTTAGCGCGCGCGCGAGGAAATAGCACGTGAGAATGCGAGTGAGATACTGAGCGGATGTGATGTAATGTGTAGTAAACCTGTTTGTCCAGTAAGTATTGTCTATGTTAGTAATTAAATGTTGAATGTTGGGAAGTTTTACCTGGCGCACTGGTCACTTTTTGACAGAGTGCTCAGAGCTTCAACATCGTCGAAGTATGATAAAAGCCAGCCTAGCGACCATGAGAGGTAGCGGCACTAGAGCCTAGAATAATTGTAAACTGTGTACTGAACGAGTCAGTCTGAGGGCTCGGCCGACTTAGTTCCGAGAAAACCCTCTTCACACTGAAGAGGTTTTTTTTATTGTAAAAATAAAACTGTGAAGAAAAAGAACCCAGGAGTTGTTTTGATGAGGTTAAAGACAACTATTACGTTGGCGTCCATGTATCGTTGATGGCTTAGTGTACGCCGAAAAGCTTGACGGGTTATCTACCGACTGTGAATATAGACCGGACAGGTAAATTCACCCGAGTGACCAATTTCACCTGATGACGGGAGGGATTTCGAATGTATGTGAATGTATACCAGAAAGACACGCACGTACGCTTGAATGAACTTCAGAAGACCTTGACCAATGAGTGTTTGTGTATCACGCGACTTCGATGTGCTCAGTTAATTCTAACCGTTAATGGACCCGGAGAACTGGACTTGAGTTGACCGTAAGCGGTATATGACAATTTGTGTATCACTGACTTTCCACCCATTGTACTATACATATCTTATATTTACTCCGCAAAACATGAACTGTTAATTGTGTAATTTGATATAACTTATTCATGTCTATTTCTTGAAGTGTGGAGAGGTTGAAGTAAGAAATATCGTAAAAGAAGAACTCACTTTACACTCAGTATCTCCTGCATCGCCAACACAAAACACTGAAGAGATAACGGAGGAGTTAAACGAGAGAAAGCGAAGAGAAAGCAATATAATTTTATTCGGCATTCCTGAACAACAACACAAAAATGTAAAAGAAAGAAAGAAGCTTGATACGAAACACGCAAAAGAAATTATTGGGGCTTGTTGCGACTGTCCTGATGGAATGTTTAAAAAGGTGATCAGGATTGGGGAAAGATATGGAAAACAAACGGAAGATATCAGGGAGTAAAAGAAAATTAAAAGACCATCCCGATTTCTCTAAGATCCGAATCAGAAATGATCTTACTGTTGTCTAGAGAACAAGAGAGAAGCAACTAAGAGCAGAAGCCATCGAGAAAGAAAGCGAAGAAACCGAAGACTTTGTTTACCGGGTCCGTGGGCCTCCATGGAAACGGAGAGTAGTCAAGCTACAGACAACTGATATTTAACAATCGGGAATAGGATGAATTAAATAATTATTTTAGTAGGGATCACAAGATGTGTGTGAATTGGACTAATGAGGGAGTTATGTTTAAATCGAAATACTGATCAATTCTAAAACTATAATGTAGATATGGATATAGAAGCATTTATTTTGTCTGCGTCCATCAAAATCTTATCTTATTTCTCAGTTTATTATTTTTGTTTATAGTGTGCTCACTTCAATATATTTCTAGTTTGAATTATGTTTTCACTTCAGGAACTATTGATAAAATTGATTTTTATTTTTTTTCTCTTACTTTGATTTGTTTGAATGTTTTCATATTGAGCTTTCATTGGATTTCCTTCAGAACACATTGATTTTTTTTAGTTTTTCTTTTTGTTAAATTGTGTACTTATTTTTTCTGTCTTAGATTAATTTTTACTTTGCTTCAGAGGTATCACTTGCACTTATTTTTCTCCGATTTTTTTGTTTGCATTTAAATTGACTGATCTGTTTCGAGGATGTTTTAAAAAATTGTCTGATTTTTTTTTCATTTGACTTAATCTGTTATAAAGTCTTTAAATTGGATTGATAGTTTTTTTTTATTTTTGGTTTTCATTTTTGCTTTTATTTCGAAAGTTAACATGTAGGATTGCTTTATTATTCTTTTAAGTGGAATTAGTTATTTGTTGATAATTACTTGGTCGCAGTTAATAATTTCTTTGTTTCACGTGCAGTGTGGATCTTTCTGTATTGATGTTGAATGGATGACATTGCATCAGATGTTTTTTATCGCTAATCGGATTGACATTTTCGTTTGCTTTTTCGCGTGTGTTTTGGCTGAACGCGACCGAATATATTTTTTTTTAGAATTTATATAGGTCTATTTCAGGTTAGTCATTGATGGTAGATGTGGCAGAGCTGGCTGATTTGATTTGATTTGTAAATGTAAATATATATATGAGGACAAGAGTAAAATACTTGTTCTGTGTTTGGTAAGAACACATAGATAAACTTAGCGTTTTCTTGAATATTTATTTTGATTTGTTGTATTATTGATTATTGTTGACTGATTGTAAAAGAAAACTCTCGCTGGCGGGAGCGATACTTTCACAAGAGGAAGGGGACTCTGAAGAGGATGTGTCTAGGTTGTATTCACAAATGGGTGCAAGACCAAAAGGTGAGAGTTTAGTTAAGTTAAGGCGTCAGATGATGGATTTCCTTAATTCAACAGGAGGATTGGACTCTGCTGATCTATCGATAGCTGGACAAGGGATAATTGGAAATGTAGCGGTTCTACCACAGGTACTATGGACACGAGATTCTACTAGTTACCGTTATCTACTGGAGATCGAGGGAACGGTGTAGCTACTTTCGATTTACGGAAATACGAAGTGCAATGTCTGATTGACACGGGTAAGTCACATGATGTCATAGGGCAGTCTATCCGAAGATCTTTGAAGGGAACCGCAGCCAGAGTAGCCATGCGGTTAGGAGCTAATGCGACGCCGGCGCAGTTAATCGCCAAACTTAGAAGTCTGTACGGCATATTAGATGACCAGGAGACCTTGCTGGAGAATTTTTATGCCGCACATAAGCATTTCAAGGAAAATGTGACGGAGTGGGCTTGTAGACTGGAAGACTTGTTGCTAAGAGCTGATTCCTGTATAGGACCCGAGGAACGCAATAAGCGATTGAACGACAAGTTTTGGTCTGGTATGAGGCAAGACTTAAGAGATGTTACTGGCCACAAGCATGATTCCATTGCCGATTATGAAGAACTGTGCATAGCAGTTAGGTCTATAGAGAGGACAAGAGATAGTGAGAAAACATCAAAGGTGACTGCAACTTTCAACTCAGCTGCTGAGGGGGAGGAGAAGGAGGACTTGCGATCTATGGTCAACTAATTATCTGCTGCTATTCAGAGGTTAGAGAAGCAGATATCCGTTGGTGGGACAACCTCGAGGAAAAACAGCCGAGATCACCGTAACAGGAATAGAGGGAACTCTAACAACTTCGGAGAAGGGTCTGTCTACCACTCGAAGCCATCGCAAGAGAAGACTGATCAGGATGACGAGTCTTCGGACAGGAAGTCTGATGTTATATGTTGGAGGTGCAGACAGCCTGGACATATAAGAGCGCGTTGCAGGGTTATCATAGATCACTCACGCAGTTCGGTAAAAGTGAAGGAGTCTGTGAAGACGGACCGCTCATAGATTTCCGAATTCAAGGTCTGAACAAGAGTACTAAGGCTAATAGGACAGGAACACAAATGATTGGCAACGCTTATGAAGTAGATGTCAACGTAGAAGGTAAGGAAACAAGGGCGTTACTGGATACAGGTGCGACCGTGTCTACAGTGAACCAACAGTTTTATGAATGTCATTTGAGTCATTTAGATCTACAGCCTATTGATGAAACTCTTACTATAGAATGTGCTGATGGACAACAGTTACCTTACTCCGGATTTATTGAAACAGAGGTCAGTTTTGAAGGACTAATTGGAAGAGGTGAGCAGAGATGTCTTTTATTGGTAGTCCCCAACAGCAATTATAACTCCAAGGTACCAGTTTTGTTTGGAACTCACGTTTTGTCGGTACTGTTGGAAGATTGTCGTAGCAAGAATGGAATGAAGTTCTTGCAGAAGGGATTGGATACCCCATGGTTTTTAGCATTTCGTTGTATAACGTTGAGATATCAGGATATAGTAAGAAATCACAACAGCATTGGCCTCGTCAAGAATGCAGGAAATATGGGATGTGTCATAAGACCTAATTCTACTATCACGCTAAAGGGATATGTAGACCAGCGGAGCGCTTATCCAACGACCTGTGCTATCATTCACCCCACAGAACGATCCAAGCTATCCAAGGATATAGATATTACACCTATAGTGTTTTCCTATGACTGCGACAGTTCACATCCATTAGACGTTCAACTTTCCAATCTGACCACACATACGTTTATCATTCCTCCCAGGGCACTTTTATGTGAGAATCAACCAGTGATTGTCAAGGAACTTGCTATTGTCGATGGAGAGGTAGGAATACCTAAGTCATTTCTGGACATGATAGACTTCTCCAATTCAGCTGTTTCAGTGGAGGAACTACAGCATGGGAAGAAACTCATTCAGGGATACGAGGATATCTTATTTGAACGTTAATAC